GCAGTTGTTGGTGCTTAAAAGCGTTATCTGTCCCTGTAATTTGGAGATAAATTGGATTTCTTTCAGATAAGTTTTCATGTATTTTCAGACATTTTAATTGGCAATATATCATTGATGAAATGTGTTTTTTTGGAAAATTTCACAAGTTTTCACTCTAAAGGTACAGAGCATTTTGTTCTTCATGAAATGATTGTTCCAGTGATGTTGACCACATTTATATACAGTATCATCCAACTGCGAACAAACACTTCAAAATCATTCATTTTTAGCGATGTATGACAACTGCGCATGCGTATTTACCATGGTACTGTCTACGAAGCCATGCAAACTCCTTTTTCTGGCATTAGTGAGCGCGGATCTCTATTGTGTCGAGATTAGCGTAGTGAGCGACTGAGCAAGCTGGCGCCAGGTGCTTTCTATTGTAGCTTTCGAGCGCGGCGACCATCATTTTACTTTTGAAGTCTTGGAGTACGACTCCTTGGGTCCTTGCTCTGTGATCAAACTAACAACAGTCGAGCATGTTTTCATACCACAGAGGTTTGACCTCAAAAATTGATGCTTTTATATTCTGTTCAATTATTTTGAGAGCTACTGTGAGGTTTCTTTTTATTGATTGTGAACCCATTACACAAGCACCTGAACTACAGTTTATAAGATTGTATTTATTAAGTATTCACTGAAGGATACATACAAATCATTGAGTGCTCCTGTGGTTTTTGAGGCACAGGGGTTGAAGGTAGTGAAGATCATTTGTCATTTGTGAATTTTTTCCTTTGAAGCAACAAAAGTGTTCCAAATCAATTCAATTCAATTCAATTCGATCAACATTTATATCCATAATGCCGCAACTTTTATAAAACAATCTAACAAAGTGAAGTAATAAATACTATCATTAAGATTATACATGTAGATCTTATGGATAAGAAAGAAAGGACAATAAATCAATAGGCAATTATGGAGGCATTTTCCGAAAGAAGGGTGCTTAACAACTAACCTGATGAAGTTTTAGCTCAGTGAATGCTGTATATTCCAAGAAAACAATATTGTAGGATCTTGGTTTGCCGAGTCATGATTTGAAATGCGCAAGCAATCAGCGTCTGGGACACATGTCACCCACTGAACCGAAGAATTATAGCAACCACGCGCCTGTGTGCATCGTGTCTACATTTGCGTGCACCCATTTACGGCTTCGCTGAATTGAAAATGAAAATTCCAAAAATGACAGCATGCCAGAAAGTATTTTTTTACAGGGAGTTTTAGTGCCGTTACTATCTTTAAACCAAGTATGCATTTCAACGATTATTTCCTCAGTTACTTTTTGGATAACTGCAAATGATATACTCTACCTTTAAATAAAGTCACTAGATAAGTGTTTCTTGTTTTATTTTCCCCGACAGAGTCTTGCCACACCCAGACACGACGAGTGGTCTCGGTTTGTCCGCACGCTAGCTGACATCAAGGCAGTGACTGCAGACGCTGAGGAGGATGACCTATCTAGATAAATGGAATAGCCCAACTCATGAATATGCATGAGGCACAGTCAGCCAATGGCACTTTGCTTGCTTTTTAGGACAACGTATCCGATCGAGATAAATGAAATACCTATATGAATAATAATTGGAGTACCCTGTTAGGGCCTGTTTCACGAATAGATGCATAATAAATGGAATATCCCGGGTCATGAATATGCATAATGAATCATACCCAGGCTCATAAATATGCATGAGATAATATCAGCCAATGACAATTCACTGGCATTAACACAATGGTTTGCCCTACTACGTAGCTATTGAAAATACTGAAAGGCACAGCACAATGAACCAGGCATTAAAGTTTTACTTAGATGAGCTAGTTTCTGCATCGTTTACTTCCCATGTTTGTCATGAGAAACAAATGAAACAAAAAGTGTAGAAAGTCTGGTACAGCTAGGAATTTCCTTATTTGTTGATGCTTCTATGAACCAGATGCCATTGACTTTTAATAAATACAGAAAAATGCAATCATCCAGTTTTAAATTATTACATTTAATGTAAATTTTCATCCATGTATGGCAATTGACCTATCGCCGTTTGCGAGTTAGCCACGCCCCTTAGACAACCCTATGGAACTGTTGTACGTTTAGTTTTGTTTGGTTGTCTCAGAATTTGCGCGTTCCGCGTTTATTTGTACATCATGTAATTGGACAATATTTCACAAGCTGCATTGACGCGATTCTACCGCGATAGGTCAATTTAGATTAGTACTGAATTATTGTTAAAATATTATGTTCATATTGCTGCCTGTGGGTGATCTTATCAGCCTTCCATTTCAGTCAAAGACAAATTAGTGCTGTGATGGTAATCTAAGTAGAAGTCATTCAATACAGATATCTGGATGGCCAACTTTAGAATAGAGACTCGGACTTTGAACTACTTGTCCACTTCTGCCCAAACAAGACAAGATCATGTAGTTGAAATCAATGGGTACTGATGATCTTATCTGTCAAGTAGTTTGTTTGGATTAGATCTTGTAAAGCGGCCCTCCTGTTTGTTATACAGTCCTGTAATTTGTGGGTGAATTGGGTCATTGAGGCAACGCATCAGGAGTTAACTCTGTCACACGTTGTTATAAAAACAGGGAAACAAGATTAGGGTTTACCTGTTCAGCTGAGTTCAAAAAGTCTTGGTGTCGGTCATTATTTACTCTCGGTGACTCGGTCAGTCAGTCGGGGAGTCAGTCGGTCAGTCTGAGGTCAGTCAGTGACTCAGTCAGAGGACACTAAGCTGGAACTTCGGTTCCATCAAAACAACCTTAATTACAGTTATTTCTATGTATAGCGGTCACAGTAAATGTATTGACATGCTTCCGAATCTTGTATTAATTTGCAAGAAATTGCATGGAACATTCAATCCTTGCTGTCCAATTTAAAATATTTTCAAAATGACAGATGTCCTTGTGGCTGCGTAGTTTCATAAAACCGAAATTGAAGGAAGAATGTAGTTTATTTATATTATAGTGAACGTGTTTGATAAATAAATACAAACAAAAGCCAAAATTGTATGCATCATAATGATCGAAGTTGATGGTAACAAAAACAAAAAAATGATAACAATGAATCAAACTCGATAATACAAGAGCAAAATATTCGTCGTGTGTACTGTCTGTGAAGTTTCTTATGCGCATGTGCTTTGTCAAAATTAAAAAAAAAAAAAAATACTAAAAATTACTTAAAAGCCTTTGGGTGAAATTCTCTAACCGATTGTTGTCTCAAAAACCTGACACATTTTGGTTTTCAATTATTTTGGGGTATGGTCCATAATTCTTGCCATTTATTTGGGTAAAAAGCACCTTATACATTTCATTTTCAGATTTTTGCAAAATGTATTTACACTCCTGTAAAAGTTGTGATAAGTTTCATGTGAGAAGTAATTTGTTTCTTCTTACCAAAAAAAAAAGAGTTTTAGTTATGTAAAACACGGTCATTGTCATTTACAGATTCATAACTGTCTTTGCATTTGGGATTTGTTTAGAAATTTATTTTCTTGAATTTTCGTTAAATTATGGTAAATTGAAATGGCTAAATAGAATACATTAACTTTGACAACTTTTTTAAGTGTGGGGTCATTCCTACTGGTTTTATCTCAATTTTGGAAGACATTCAAGCCAGATTCTCATCAAATTTTGCATTGGCTGTAAAATGCAGAAATACTGCCAACATATAAAACTCCTGGAAAATAATTGAAATTTATCATATACTTTTGGAGAAGTACACTTTTTTAAAATAGAAATGTTACTGAATAACAACAGTGGAATTACAAAAGGTTCAATTTATTTTTAATCATGTCTTAGATTTCATAGGATTCATTAGTTCATTATGGAGTTGATTTAAAGACCTTTGCATGCTGGTATTTATGGTTGTATATTTTAAGTTTTGGCAGTTCTATTAAATGTCCAAAGGAAACGCTGTTGTGTTTTCAGAAGTATGTTTTATTGCTATTTGTCTCAATAGAGCCTTTGCATTCTGCAGCCCTTGCTGGGTTTTTTGTTATTTTTAATTCAGTATCAATAAATGTACATTAGGTCTACCCATGTGTTAAAAGCACAAGAATCTAAGATGGCTCCAACGCAAAAGATCTGTACGCCAGTCTTGTAAATTGATATTTGTCTCGCTTAGAAGTTGACCGGAAGTGCTTTGTTCCATGGCAGAATATGTCACATTTTATCAAGGCTGTGATGACCTCAGAAAAATGAATTTCAGAAATCTGACAAATTTGTTAAATTTTGTTTTATAAGTTTGATTATTCTGACTCTTTCCACCTTTATGCTTTTCAAAATTTGTTTTTGTGTCGAGAACTGTATAATATCTTCAGATAATTTAAACCTAAACAAATTTATGCGGCTTGACATTGCAAACTTAACAAATTGTTCTTCAGAGGCTAAATGACGAAGATACAAGAAACAAACATGTAGGGACTCACCCCGTTTGTTGCTTGTACCTTCGCCATTTAGCCTCTATGGAAGAACTTGTTAAGTTCTCAACGTCGGGCCGCATTCATTTTTTAGATTTGTATATTTAGGTCAACCCACTCAGTAAGCAGTTTGCAGCAATCCTATTAATTTTCATAACTTAAACCTGAAATGTCTGTTGTCGAAGATAGCTGTATGCGTTTCAGGCAACTGAGAACATTAAATGCAGTGATGTGATGAAAATGAGTGGTTAAAGGTAAGAGTATACAAATTAGCCTTTTTATATTTAAATACGTTTAACCTGTCCCAAAAACCAGTGCAGTCATTAGACGGTCTCATGCTGTTTGCTTCAGTATTTTTCAAAGCTACTCGAGGTTTTTAGATGCAACTACTTCTTTTTACTTGGACTTTAAATCTGAAAGCCTTGCATGTTGTGACTCGGATTGGAGAAATTAAAGAAGGATTACAAGAATACTTTTTAGAACATTTGGAATAGGGAGGAAAGTTTGTGAGTTGAATATCCTTTTATACAATTTTACTCATAAGACCACTCGCATCCCTATGAATAGTGTTTCCAATCCGCCTAGTCAAACTGCCTCGATAAGGTTTCATAACTGTACAGTACTTCTGCTATTTTAAAGTTTCCGGACATTAGTTCCAGTACCCAAATTCTTGTTTCAACATTTTTGGGTGATTATCCTGCAATTACCGACAGTACTTTGTACCATTTGGGCGGTAATTTCCATTTTTTATCAGTCATCATGTCAATGATTAATCTACCTCCCAAGTTTTCTGTTGTGCGTTTTTAACCCTCTTTTTCAGCAAAGTGCTATCAGGAAAACTTTGTCCTCGGCCATTAGGGAGTACACCAGTGCCAGGCATCGCTAAACAAGGAAAGACAAAAGAAAAGAACCGAGCGAGCCAACTTGGTGCGGAAATTAGAATCACATCTGGGTTTTGCTGCCGGTGATGAGTGCCGTTTCCATATAGTGGGCTATTTCTGTGATGCTTTCTTGAGACGATGCTACGACTAAGTGTCATTTTGCTCCTGTGCACCATTGGTAAGTTCACAAATTGTAAAAATTACTCAGAATTATCTGAGGTTGGGTTTTTTTTTCTCAGGACGATACTAAAACTGCATGGGACATTCCGGCCAAACATTCTTGTACACAGAGCTGCCCAGCAGAAAATATTGCTTAGAAAATTTAATTGTGAAGTATAACTCAACCAGAAACAGTCACAGGAATTATACATAACAAGGCATTATTACTGGGAAACTGTTTTGCCTATTGCTACAAATATTTATGCATTTAAAATGTTTAAGGGAAAGAATGTTGCAACCCGACGCCACTTCAGCTGTTGTGTACAAGGTCTATGGAGAGTCAAGAAAATTGTCTAAGTGTTTCCTAACAAAATGGGAAATGTTTCTCAGTCCCAGATTCATGTCTTCTCATAATTTTTGCAATGAATGTACTTCATTGAGATGATATATGAAGAATATGAAGAAAAAAAAGTGGCATCAGGTTGCAACATTCTTTCCAATTATAGTTTGTGGAAATTTGTTTTCTTTCCGTAGGTCTTGCTGAACTTAAAGTTATTGACATTGTATTTTAGCCCCAAAATAGTCTTTGAATAAAAAAAGCAGCTGATGAGGACGGGAACTATAATATTTTTGAAGAACACTGCTTGAGCATTTTCTTTTTTTGGGAGGGGCAGGTGTTTTTTTTTTAAATCTTTTAAATGTCTGGTCTCTCTATAAGACTTTCTTTGAGTTGCATTTAAACTACACAGAATAACATGTTAATACGTTGAAGATATGGGTTCTTTCTGCCTTTTCTCTCCAGTATACATTCACTTCTGTGGCAGAGTATCTTTTCAACTATTTCAAGATCATTTAAAAAAATAAAGAGAATTCAAAATCATTTGCCTACATATGTGTTCTTGAAATTGGTCAACAGTGGCTAACTTAAAGGGAAAATACAACATTTGCAAACATCAAAAAATAAAACTACCAAATCATTTTGAAATACCTTGCTGGACTGATAGTGAATGACAGTGTAAAGCATCCTGTAAAATCATGGCACTTGGTATACTGTCATTTTCAAGAAAAGTGATATTTTTGTATCAATTTCCAACGCTGATCAGTCGATCAGCGTTGGAAAAAACTGGCCTTTTTTCAAATACTGGCCCCAATTGACCATCGCACTTGTTTGCAATTGATTACAAACCTATGAACGGGTACGAGCCAGCTAGACTGGTTCCCTGACCTTACAATTCCCCAATGTATGTAAACTGCTCTGTTTCTTCTTATATGGAGTCAGGGAACCAGACTACAGGAAAATGATTGTTTTTCTTGGTTTTTATAGCATTTTCGAACCCAAAACCTCAAAAAAGTAAGTGTAACTATATTTGCTATAAATTTCCAACCCCCCAATTCCATCCATTTCTGAAAATTACAGCAAAAGCAAATGATGTATATTCCCTTAAAGCAAAAACTTAATTCATAATGTTAAATTGTTTTGGCTTTAAACCCTTGAAAATTAAAGTCGTTTTCCCAGTGCTCTTCAATAAATTCCACTTTATTCTCATTATAACTTTCAACTTGTATGTTTTATTCCAATAAAAAAATACTCCTTTTTTTCCCTTCTTTTTTTTAGAGGGGTCTGCAATCCTTGTGAGCAGACTGGTTCCCGGTCCGTAAATTATCAATATACTGATTATGGGGCGGGAACCAGCCTACCCCGTGAGAACAGAACTATTGTCAGGCCGCAAGTAATGCCAAATTTGGAAAGTACTAATTCAGTGACTATTAATGCGGGCCATTTTTGGGGGGGTCGATGGCTCATTTGAAAAAGAAAAACGTATTGCTAAAAAAAATAACCAATTGAAAAAAGGAATCTAATTTTCATGATGAAACACGAAAAATTCGACTTCAACGAATGCAACTTCAGAAATCTTACGATAAGATGAGTTGTAATGCTCTGTGGTTCTGTTTTCTTTATAAGAACATCCACAAGTCTCGTGGCCACATTTGCAAACTTGGCCTGAGCAATCTAGGCGTGGATCTAATTGACTCGCCGAGGGAAAAGTCCAAGGGGTGTGACCACAAAATAATCATAAAAAGTAAACAAAACCTTAGCCTCATTCAAATTATTGCAAAAAAATGATACAGCTGAATGAGTTTTTGTTTACTTTTGTACTGTAAGTGGTTAAGATTAGTGCGTCTGTAAACCCAGTTGGTTGACTACAAGTATTCAGTTTCCTAATCAAGATCTAAAGATTAACCCCCCCCCCCACCAATAAAAAAACAACGTGTTTTAGTAATGGTCATCAAGTGATAAAAAGAGATATCACATTTTGGTTTTTGAGCCAATTTGAAAATTTAATCCAATGTTGGTATTTAAATCATCAGCTAATTTAAACGTCTTAGTTCAAACACGTAAATAGGATCACTGTCTGGAAAAAACACACAAAACTTAAATAGAGAGTTAAGATTAAATAATTAAAAAAAAAACCAAATTGATAATGATAAAAAAGAAAGAAAAACAAACCCAAACTAAAAATATTGGTAGAATATCAAGCAATTTTCAAATTTTTCAAAATGGCCGCCATTGGTTGTTGTTCTACTTATATTTTTGTCAAAGAACAAATCTGTGATGGCCTTTTAGCCAAATATCTTTCTCATGACATACTCTGAATGTGTGCCAAATGCCATGCTTGTCTCATCAAAGGCACAATTCCATCACCTATCTACCATACTATTTCATCAAATCACAGTGTCCTAGTTTTGCCCAATGTCCTATCTGGGATTTCTGCTCCCAATCCCAGTGCAACTTTTTTTCTTCTTTTTTGGTCTTCTTTTTCACAAATATCCATCTTTTAATTGCAGTTCAGGTGCAGGGAACGTGCCCAGACGGTTACTCACAGTTCTCTGGTACATCAAAATGCTTTGCCTTGAAACCTACTGAGGCTGCACAAACCAGGGTAACATGGCAAGAAGCATCCACCCAGTGCGCCCAAGATGGAGCCACTCTTGCCTCTATCCAAGATCTTAATGACCAAGGTAATATGTTGTGCTGTTAAGTGGACTTGTAATGCTCAGTTTCCTTAAATCTGTACACTATATTTGGGTCAAAAAAACAGAAAGGTAACCAATGTTTTAGTAATTACAAGGGAAATGATGTCTTGACTGCAATAACTACAATATTTATTAGACCACTTCAATAATGTACCTAGGCATGTCAGGCATCAAGCAGAACAAATAAATCAGCATATTGTATGCTTTCGTAAAATGTGCTCGGATGACGGCAACATTATCAGTTAAAGTACCCGGATTGCGGACAATATTACTTTTGATATTGTTCAGTGCGCCCTCATCCAGGCACTTTTGCTGGTTTCTGCACGATTAAGAGCGTAGAAACTCACAGTTGTCAACCAGTCAACAGAGCGTATTATAACACCTCACCCACAGATTCTGTGTCTTGATTGGCCGAGAGCGAGTCACATGTTACTTTCTAATTTTGCTATCTTTCTGTGCACAGCCAAAAGTACTATGCGCATAGCAACCAAAGTACTATACCATTAGCAACCAAAGTACTATTTCCACGGCACGGTATTTGTGTGCAAATGCATGCTGGTGTGCGCATTGTGCGTAGCGCGGACGTATTATTCTAAAGAGAGCGTGCCGCAGACTTGGGTTCAAACATTTCGTGAAGGGGTAGTTTTTAAGAGAGAAATACATTTTCCACCAATTTTGTATTGAAATTGAAGTTTATTTCAACTGTGTTCAGATTTAAATAATTTAAAATATTAAAATCAAGCAGAATCTGTGGGTGAAGTGTTATAAAACAAATATTGAATGCTTTATCTCGTGGTGAAGTAAAACTAGCCTCCCTCGGTGATCCATGGACCATTCTATTTTCCCTCGGCTTCGCCTCGGGAAAATAGAATGGTCCATGCATCACCTCGGGAGGCTAGTTTTACTACACCACTCGAAGCATTCAATATTTGTATAATATTGCACTTGCTATGACAATACTGCACTCATCTTCGACTCGTGCAATATTGTCATAGCTCGTGCAATATATTCTTGTTTTCACCTCAAAGCCATCCAATATTTAAAAAATATTTCAAGTATTTATATAACATTCATTGTAATGTTGTTAAGAGATAAGCAGGGTCCCCAAGGTCATGTAAAAATTCCTTGAAAATCCTAGAATTTTAAATCCATCCAGTAAAGTCTTGAAAAGCTCATTGAATTGAATTTTGTTATTTTACAAGGAGGCCTTGAAAGTTGGTATTCCAAGAAAAAAGTCTTGTACCAGTCAGAAACCCGCACGTGATCATGCATAATATTTGAGAAAGGCAGTATAAGCTTCCAGCTTGCATTGCAGTTTATTATACTTTCTCCTCCATGTACGTTTCTATCTTTCCATGGTCTGTGCACCAACTGTGGTCCTTTTCTGGTCTTGTGTCAAACTCGAAGGTAGTGAAAGGAAGTGGCATCCTAATGGGAGACTTTTGAGACGTTGGTGGCAGCAAACATACCGCTCCTTTTTCAGTTGTTTACGTCACGTTTAAGACAAAGCCCGCATGCTCAATGTGACGCAAACAATGGCAAAAGGACCGGTATGTTTGCTGCCACCCTCGTCTCAAAAGTCTCCCATTGTCTCAGTGTGAAGACTGGCTAGTGTGGTGTGTGAAGTGGTCATAGAAAGCCCTAATTTTGTCCTTGAAAGTGGTGATTTCTTTTTAAAAGATTTCAGTGGGAAGATAAAACAAAGTTATTTAACGTAACAAAATGAAGAGTAAAAGAATATCGATAAGATAAGAAATCGGCCATGCACTTAAAGGTACAGTCCATCATTTGTAATTTGTGCATTTTGTTCGTTTGAAGTAACAAAAGTTCTCAAAATCTAAAGAGGGTTCTGAACAAATTAACTAACCTGATGAAGTTTCAGCTCAGCTTCAGCTGTATATTTGGAGAAAAACAACATTCTAAGAGCTCGCTTTCAAATCAGAAGTTGCTGAATCATGTTTTGAATTTGGCCTGAATTCAGTGTCCGAGACACGTTCAGACTGAGCCGATGTCACGCACTGATCTGAAGAATTATAGCAAGGGCGCACGTGTGCATCATGTCAATGCTTGCACGTGCTTCGCCGAATAAAAGAAAATGAACTAACCGAAATTTCCAACGTTGGAAAGACCTTAAATTGTTGATTTCGTCAAAATGACAGCGTGCCATAAAGAATAATTTCACAGGGAGTTTAGTCCCCTTACTATCGTTCAACCTAATAATTATGTTTTTCAACAATAATTACTTCAGTTACTGCAAATGATGGACTGTAGCTTTCAGATTTGTGAATTTGTTGTTGGGTTGTTGCCAATCTCTGAACCGTGAAACCCTTCTCTACTGTTTGTAGTGTACCTGAATGTGTTTCTGAAGACTGCGTCTCAGTCTGATGGCGTATGGATGGGACTGAGTGACACAGCCGTTGATGGCGAATACAGATGGCCAGATGATACTAATACCTCTGGTTACAACAATTGGGATCTAAATCAACCAGACGATAATATACCTGCGGGGCAGCGGGTAAGCACTGTGTACATATTTCTGTGATATACTATAAATATTATTACCGGGAATGGGTCATTTGGGAGACCTACCCATAGACTTGTGCAAAATTTTTCAAACTGAAATGTGCCCTAACCCACTATTTCCTTGTCCTTTTTCCACGCATTTCGGTATGCTTACTTATTAGACCACGAGCAACAAATATAACTTAATTGCGACACCAAAATTTTGCCTCTAAATGGGGGCTGTGACATTAGGGAGACAGTTATGTGTCTCCCTAATGACCGGTGTCTCCCTATTATTGAAGGAATTACAATAACGCGTCTCCCTAATGGTACATTTAGTAATATAATGAACACTATAGCGCTGGTATCTACCAGGTGAGACCCTCATGGCACATTACACAGTCAACTCTCGTTAGTACAAACACTGTTAATACAAATTCTGGTTATGGCAAACACAAAGCCTTGGCCCCGACTGTGCATTTATGTGCACAATGAATGGGACCGATGCTCCTCTAAATACAGAATTCCTTCATTGTCATGCCATCGCCATGCTAAATTCAAAACGTACAATTCGGGCAATTCACAATGCAGTGCGCCACCAAGTGTTTGCCATGGAGTGACCATTTCTCAAATTTACAGTCAACACAACACACGGCCCATTTAAATGTGTGTCAGTAGACTACTTGAGCTAATTTGTTATAGATTGGGGCATAGCGTTCGGCTGCCTTACAAAAAACACCGTGTCGATAAAAAGAAAAGAAAAGGAAAACAGATACTCGAATCATACGCTTATGAAACTACTGACTGGAAAAACAGTTTCAAATAGCCCGCGCTGCGAATTTTTCAACCATTTCAATGAATTGGGAAAAATAAACTCTCCATGGCAAAATCTTGGTGGCGCACTGTATTTTGAATCGCCTCAATAAATTGAGTGTGGCATTGCAGTAGCTCGGTGTCCAGAATGGGCCTTGGGGTATTGATGTGACAGTGGCAGGCAAAACCTCAGGCAACACAGAACCTTCCTTTTTCTCATGCAGTGTGTTCGGCTAGTTCCTGATGATCGAACACCGGGTTTGTGGAAAACATTCCTATGTGATGAAGCAAGCACGCCCTATTTCCTCTGCGAAGTAGCTCCTACAGGTATGTACAAAACAATGGAAAGTGATCGTTCGTTAAGCATACATTTTTCATTTTGTCCGTGATAGACATACAGTACTTTGGTCTAAAACTTACTTATTTGTCATCAACTCTGACTATGTTAGTTATCCAACAAGCATGACAGTGCAACATGGAATAATGCAGTGCATCTGTGCGCCTTAAGGCCGAAGGGACATAGACGCACTGCATTTCCTGTGTTCCACGAGCGCGAATGAGATTCAACCAATTAATCTTCAAGCAAACTTGATGCACAGTGGTTAACCTATTACACGTGCGTGCAGCAGGAATGGCACATGCATCTTGCTCCACAGTTTGTTGCCATGGATCCTCCAATCAGGATCGAGGATTTAATGTTGCCTAAAGATAACGTGTCTGCTAAGGGCCAGTTTGGCTGAGTTTTGGAAGGGAAGTGATTATTCTGTGTTGACCACTTAATGCCGGGATAATTTTTGTCGAAAATTAAAGCAAAATTTTCCAGCCAACTTCTGATGTCCAGGCAAATGCCACAAATACTGATTCGCAAAAGTCATTTCATCAGTATTTGTACGATATTTCTTTCCAAAACCGCAAAATAGTTTCAATACTCCGGGTGTGCACTGGAGCGTCAATTGTACAATAGGCCTTGCACCACGGCCATTTCAAGTTCAGCACACATCCCGACTCCACAGACTTCACAGACTTTGTGTGAGTGTACAAAAGGCACAAGGGATTAGCATGGTTAGACGTCACCCGGAGGCCAGTCAAAGCCATCTTAGCGTCTTAACCAGTCGACCGTGCATGTGTATAAAAACAGCCGGTGCGTGTTTACGCACACCTCTGGCGTTAACTGGTTAAATAATATAAAGAGAAGAGAGAAGACATGCCAAAATAAATCATTTTTAAACTTCCATTCTTATTTTCTGACTTCAGACGATACTGATCCGGTACAGCCATCATGTCCAATAGGTGGCAGTGATGCCGACTATTTTGTTTATGACGGGGCTTGCTTCAAAATCACCAGCAGCGGAATGTCATCAGCTGATGCTGAAGAAGCGTGCCGGGCAACCGGAACTAATGCACATCTGGCGACAGTGAGCAACGCGTATCATAACAATGCCATCCGTCTGTTGTTGCTGGGTGCGGGCGAAACAACGTCATGGATTGGGCTGAAGAGCACCCGAGGGGTAAGAAAAGATATTCTGAAAGTCGTGAGAGTGAAAGTTACGGTTAAATTCAATGGGTTAGGCTCAAAACGAATGGATGATGTGTATGACAGGAAGACTGCGCTTTGTGACCGCACACCAGAGTGCACTGTGAAAAGCCAGTGTGTAATTTTAATTGGCTTATAATGTTTGTAAGGCAAAACAAAAAGTCTTCGGTTTCAGGTATGGAGCTTGCCCCAAAAGTGGTGCAGCGACGTGGGTTTCTTTTCTTCTTCAAATGCCGGCTGATGTTGCAGATGACGTTTTGATCCCCCTAAAACTCTCAAAAATATCCTTCTGGGTGGAGCTTGAGGTGACCTCAGTAAGACAAAAAAATATAAGACTTATATAATATAAGCCATAAGACTTAAGAATTCTGCACCCACTTACGATCTCGACAGACACGAACATTCTTTGGGAAATTTGGATAGTCAAGACAAAAATCAGAGAAAATGGTAACGTCAGACCATAAATCGACACCGTGCATGTGCTGCCAGGCTGGTCATTTAGTCTGCACCCTTACATATTGCGCTAATTAAAAAGCGTTTATTACAGGTTCCAGATACACGACCATTACTCCCTCAGTCTGGCTCCCAGATGCACAATTACAAAATTATAATACCATCTGCAAATGGTGCCCTAAATTTAGTGCAAAATATACAGGAGCCCAGAGACGCCACATAAAGCTTATTCTCGATTGTAACCCCATCTAAAAACATGTCAAACTTGTACAGCAGCAGGATTCTTAAATTTGCCGACGTGCATGGCTACAGCGATGCAATAGGGGTTAAGGCCAAGGATAAAGAGTAACTGCACAATTAAAAGATGTCAAAATTGACTCCATGGTTTTGTAGTTAGTTTAAAAAATAGTCAGACGGACACTTTTTGGGGGACATACTGCATAGGTGCAAACGGCATTTCAAAAACAAGTACCTCTGCCCTATTTAGTCTTGGTAAACTGGATTGCCTGAGGACACACGCTTCACAACTAATCAGTAGATGATTGAGGTGGATGCTTCGCACCCATGTAACACCACTCCAGAGTCGTTCCAAGAGCAAACTGTTTGATTCTCCGCAAGTTTTCTTTGTTTTTGTTGTCCCCTACAGGCGTTCACCTGGATTGATAGATCTCAACTCGTCGTTTATACCAACTGGGATGCAAGGGAACCACAACCTTCCGATACCAAATCCTGCGTGTCTACAGACGGTGACATGTGGACCACTGAGGATTGCGAAGGGAACATGACAGCCATCTGCTCCATCTCATTAGGTAGGATCCTGGTCACTCGACTTAAATGGACACTAGGTCCTGGAACAGCCCAATTGGGCTACAAAACGCGCTTTAAATGAGATGATGTTAATCGGAAATAACATTTAAAAGTAGGATATAAACATCCACACAACTATCCTTTCAAACTGGGCGTTTTTGTGTCATTCCTGTATAACTGAAGGAATTTCGGGGTCCACTTTTGCAACCCTATAAATTCGAGCTATTTGGGATGCTAGTTGTGATTTCATTCGTGATGTGTTCGCCTTTTGCGGACCTTGAAGAAACCATTTTTTTTTTGCATTGGTGATTGGTCACAGCTGTTCCAGAGACACACAATGTGTATATCGTACACTAAAAACAACACGAAAAACGTATTTGTTCTCCGTCATGTCCGATGTAAACAAGCAGGGTTTTTTTTGTTTTTTTTCGGGAGCAGTGAGGCATTAGGTTGGTTTCCTTTCAACCAGATGTATGAAATAGGCCAAGTAAACAATCCAAAACATAAAATTTTCAGGGATTTCAGGACCTTGTGCCCTTTAAGCTTAGTCGAACCATTATCGGCAAATGTCTTTGCTGGTTCAGGCTTCACGCAGTGGAGCAGATTTCCTGACATACCTCAACAATTGCAATTTCAATGTGACCTTTGCCATTACCCTAAATGAAGTCCACTAAATTCTGTTGCATGAGGTATGAACCAGCCTGAAGAGTGACACATGTCACTGTCTTAGAATGACTTCAATCGCCTCGAGCCACTGTGTTATATCGACTGGACTCAATTGACCCAAGTCACCGCCTAAGAATGACTCAACTTGATTCAAGTCACTGCTTAAGAATGACACAATAAGAATGACACAACTCGACTCGAGTCACTGCCTGAGAATGACTCGCTCAAGTCTCTGTCTTAAAATGACTGGACTCAACTTGTTTCAAGTCACTGCTCAAGAATGACACAATTGACTTGAGTCACTGCCTAAAAATAACTCTACTCACTTGAGGCACGGCCTAAGAATGATCCAACTCGACTTGAGCCGCTGCCGTAGAATGACTTTACTCAACTCAACTGTAGTCAAAATGACTCGACTTGATAAGACAACCTACTTGACTCTGGTCACTGTCATAAAACGACTCGCTTTGACTTGAGTCACAAAATTTAGATACTCGTTACGACTATTTGCCTTAGAAAAACCTTAACTTAACCGACTCTGTGCTGTGCTTATAGGCCTACTGCTCACAGTTTCAGCGAAAAGGATAGAGGCTCTGTTATCAAAAAAAAAAAACAGACTATATGAGAACGGGTACTTGTCTGATTCAATCTAACAGTTTCCATTACTAATTAGAAAACAATTGGAAAACTCTCCTATCTCAGATGCGGGCCCCGAACGTCCACAGGAAGGTGAATGCCCAGCAGGCTGGAGTTTCATAGGCCTCTATGAGTTTTGCGTCCAGTACGTCAGCGAAGGCATGAATTGGACGGCAGCACTGCAAGAATGCACCGCCAGGTACCCCTTCGCTTCCCTGTATGCTCCGCACAGGGAGATGCCAATCAACTGGGCTGAATACGAAATGGCCGTTGGTACAGAATTCTGGCTCGCAATGAGGAGAAATGAGGGTAAGCACAATCGGTTGCTCCGCCCATCGTCTGGAGACTGAGTGAAAGAAAGGGGGGGGGTCAGAAAACGTGAATGAACATTAAACATTCTCGGAAGAGAAATATGCTTCAGATATTTCCAGTGTTGAAGTCCTGTCTACCACAAGTCAATCGCAAGTTTGTACATAAACATATATATATGTATCATTTTTGTTGTAAAATTCCAAAATGAAAACTTCTCAAAACAAAAACATTACCTGGACGTATATGTTTATGTATAGTCAGCCTCCTAGTACAGTCTCCCTACGATGAATAGAGCATACTGTGCGAAAGTTGTTAAAGAGGTTGTGGAATGCTCGAAAACATTTACGTCAATTTTCGGGTATATGTAGCCTAAGGTGTGATGAAATAAAAACGACTATTGTGTCCGTCATGAAATGAGTACAAAAGGTACTTTTAAGAGCTGTTTTCAGGTCCTGTTTCGACCCGAACGTGCGATTTGTGTAAAAGTCGTCGTTGGGGGCAGCAAACAAAACATAGTAAATCGTAATAAACAGGACTCCCGATGCAGCGTAGTATAAACGAGTCCTGTTTATTTCGTCACGATTTACTATGCTTTGTTTGCTGCCCCCAACGACGACTGTTACACAAATCGCACATTCGGGTCGAAACAGGACCTGAAAAACAGCTCTCAAAAGTACCTTTTGTACTCATTTCATGACAGACACAATAGTCGTTTTTTAAATTTTATCACACCTTAGGCTACATATAACCGAAAAAATGACCGAAATGTCTTCGAGCATTCCACAACCTCTTTAATGGTATTTCCTGGTTCTTTTCAGAACCTCACAAACTCACAAAAAGATGTGTCGCGTGATGTAACTGCAACTTTACTCATTGCTAACTTCACAGTACAAACCTCATATCTCATAGAACCCATAGCAGTGGAAGTGCAGGTGACCGTTTTGTGCTTTCTTACGGGGAGTAAAAGTAGATTTAGAATAATAAAGCGGGCCTCGATCTTTGAATATGAGAGGGCAGTGTTTAGATTTCAAATTATGTGAAAGTGGAAAACTACATTTTTCACTTAATTTCTTCATTTGAATAAAAGTGAGAAAAAAAAAACATGGGGGGAAAAAAAATCTGAATGGGTAGGGTCCCCTTGCCCAACCCTCAGCTTAATACTTCAATTATTTTGGTCACACATAACATGTGTGTTTACTTGGAGAACTAAATATGCATGTAGTGTGTGCCAGCATGGTGTTTTGTGTGCCAGTATTGTCTTCCAGCAGTGCCTTTTTTTTATAAATCTATAGAACTGCCATTAATCTTAAAATAACCACACCAGATGGAATTTTTTTCAAAGGGAGATTTTGTGCAAGAGCCTGTCAGAAGCAACTTACGACCTCCTGCACATAGTAAAGAAACAAATTGGAAAGTCTGTCGAGAGCCAATATGGCCCAACATCATCAGGCCAGCGTTTATCTCTGGTTTTCTTGGCATAAAACAAGTGGGATATTTCTATTCCCCCCCCCCCCGGATGGGATGCCAGTCCATTGCAGGTTGCTCCCTACAGCTAATGTCAATACCCATTTGTACTCCTGGGTGGAGAGTGTTATGTGGTTCTTATCTAAGATTGAGGCTTGGAAAGACGACACATATCCAGTCAGGATTCTGACTAACAACTGTGTATTCTAGAACTCTCTTGCAACTGCAAGTCTGGTTAACATAGCAACAAACTCCAGAGGGCGCTATACAGTTTTAGTGGTTATGAGTAACTCCTACATATATCCCAGACAGAGAGAAGCTGCAGAGACAAGTAAGGGTAAAGTGGTGTGTCCAAGGACACAACATGTGACCAGCAGCATGAATTTGAGACCCTGACCTCTGATCATAAGTCACAAACCCTAACCACTAGGCCACACTCCCTAGTAATATGGGTGTCTTACTGTCTTCCACTCGACCTCTGAGCTTGTCGAGGTCGATTGGCTAATTTGAATCTAATATAGCAGCGGCAATAAGAAGTTGATGGTATGTTTCGTGTCTCCTCACCAGATGACAGGTATCAAATGGCTGATGGGAGTGCGATAGATTACGTTAACTGGGCAAACAATCAACCTTGTTGTTGGGATTCTAATCAGGACTGCGTTGTTGGAACTGTGCAAGCCTCGGATGCTCTCTTTGAGTGGTCAGGTCGTGACTGTGATCTCCAGAAACCCTTCTTCTGTGTATTTCCTTCAAGTGAGTGGCACTTTTATGTTTTGTCATTATTGTCAAATCGTAAAGACATGGTTATTTTGTTTTTTAATTGGTACTGCATTTAGCACTTAGCGCTGTGTACTGCATATTCAGGGTTTAAAATTGGAATATTGATAAGGAAACCTCGTGAAATAGGTAATGCTGTTGTCAAGTCCATCACAAGTCTAGTCACAAGTCCGGTCACAAGTCAGGTCACAAGTCCGGTCACAAGTCATGTCACTAGTCAGATCACATGTCAAGCCCGGTTAATACTTCACGTGAAAGCGAAAGCGAAGCGAAATTTGTGACGTCAACAATACATTCAAAGCGCGTCCACCATTGTTGACAACATGAATTTCGCGTGAAGTATGAACCGGGCTTCAGGTCACAAACCAGGTCACAAGTCCGGTCACAAGTCAGGTCACAAGTCCGGTCACAAGTCCGGTCACAAGTCCGGTCACAAGTCAGGTCACAAGTCAGGTCACAACTCCGGTCACAAGTCCGGTCACAAGTCAGGTCACAAGTCAGGTCACAAGTCCGGTCACAAGTCCGGTCACAAGTCAGGTCACAAGTCCGGTCACAAGTCCGGTCACAAGTCCGGTCACAAGTCAGGTCACAAGTCAGGTCACAAGTCTTGAAACAGGTAACAAGGGATGAACTGTAACAAAGGAATGAGTTGTCACAGTTTATGTGAATTACAGCTACTGGATTGACTTTAGAGTGGAAGGCTCGTGATTGACTGGTAGTGCACTTGTGGTGAACTTGACTACCCTACTAGATATCTGAAACACATTTTCCAGATTTTTCCTCTCGTGAGGATATTATTCATTCATCTGTACTTTTGCTTTTCGTTGTCTCCACCCATTCTCTCCGCCCTCTCTTTTGCACCCCTCCCTGTAAACATTGTGATCTTGCAGTTACGGCTCCCCCACCATATGGCGAGTGCCAGGAGGGTTGGTTTAAGCTTGGCCAGAAATGCTACGGATATTTTCCCGAGGAGGTAACATTTGCTGAGGCCCGGAGTAACTGTGAGAGTAATTTTGTCGGTGGACACCTTGCCGCTATCAGCTATACCAGTCTACAGGGTTAGTTTGAGTCTGGTAAATGGGCTCTTTACAGATATAGTCCATCATTTGTAATTTGTGCATTATGTTCATTTGAAGCAACAAAAGTGTTCAAAATCTAAAGAAAGGTACTGAACAACTAACCTGATGAAGTTTCAGCTCATCTTCAGCTGTATATTCCGAGAAAAACAACATTCTAGGATCTCGCTTTCAAATCAAAAGTTGCTGAATCATGTTTTGAATTGGGCCTGAATTCAGCGTCCGAGACATGTTCTCACTGAGCCGATTGCAGCTACGCGATGTCGCGCACTGATCTGACGAATAACAGCAATCGGGGGTGCTTGTGCATTGTACCAACGCTTACGCACTTCGCTGAATAAAGAAATGAACTACCAACGGAAATTTCCAACTGTGCTCGAATGCTTGGCACATTTTCACTTTGAATTCTCCAGACCAAAGAGACTGTCACTATATCACGTGATTTCGGGGCGAGCCTTATGCTAGCAACCCCCAGCTCTGGCATGGTCTGGTGTCTTTGTGCCATTCTCACCCATCGTGAACAATGTATTGGTGCTGAGCATCTCTTACGTAACTATGGAAGAGCTTGCCCCAAATCATGTGATATAGCAACAGTGTCTTTGGTCTGGAGAATTCAAAGTTAAAACGTGCCAAGCATCATGAGCAAGTCAGTGTACCAGATGTTATTCAAATTAATTTTAAGTCGCAAAGTGTATAGGCTATTCGCAAATGTCTTATTACATTCTCATGAGTACGAGTTCGAAAAAATGTTGATACTGATCTTTGTTTTCTCATTATTATTTGGTTGAAGATATGCTGGTCTACTTCATGAAAAGCTACGCCAAAAATGTCTGGATCGGCCTTTTGGATACCACCAACAACAAAGAATTCAAATGGACAAACGGAGACAGCGTACTGTTTACCAACTGGGCACCGGGCCAGCCAGATGGGTACTTGGACTTCTTTGATGAAACTGAGGTGAAAATAACAAAGTGTATGATTATGAGGGGAGGGAGTGGTGGTCTGCCCTGGAGTGCTGTGGCCTCATGCTCTGGTGCATTGAATTCGTGGCCTAGTGCGGGTAATTCTGCAGGTTGTGGGTTCGAGTCCAGCCTGGGTTTATGGTGCCTGTGCTTTTGGGCAAGGCACTTCGTCACTCGTTGCCTCTCCATACAAGTACATGTATACCTGTGAGGGCAGAGATGGTCATTGTGATTGATTTTAGCTGCTTTGCCCTGAAATAGCAGCTTTTAGCTGCATATACTCCCCAGGGAGCTGAGATTGTCTTTGGAATGTTTCATTGGCCCAATGAGCAGGGTAATAACAATGTAGCACCTTGAGCACCAATTTTAATGTCTCCCTATTGTCTCCCTATTGTCACAGCCCCCCTTTAGATGCAAAATTTTATCGTCGCAATTACGTTATTTTTGTTGCTTGTGGTCTAATTAGTAAACATACCAAAATTTGTGGAAAAAGGACAAGGCAATATTGGGGTTGGGCTCATTTTAGTTTGAACAATTTTGTGCACAAGTCTATGGAAATGTCTCCCAAATGTCCAATCCAAGGTAATTATTATTAGTAGTAGTAGTATTACGGGAAATGGGTCATTTGGGAGACATCCCCATAGAATTGTGCACAAAATTTTTCAAACTTCAATGTGCCCTAACCCAATATTCCCTAACCCAATATTTTCCTCAAATTTTGGTATGTTCCTCAAATTTTGGTATGTTCACTAATTAGACCACGAGCAACAAACTTAATCTAATTGCGACAGAAAAATTTTGCCTCTGAAGGGGGGCTGTGACATTAGGGAGACATGATAATGTCTCCCTAATGACCGATGTCTCCCATCGCGCGAAGAAATTACGATAACATGTTTCTTTAATGGTACCTTTACACGTATTATGATTATTATTTTTATTACTGTTAATTGGTCTTGGTTAAAGACTGGCTTGGGATTTTTGTTTTCCTGATGGATGCGTTTCGGGGAACAAAAATCCATACTTAGTCTGGGACTAAGGCTAGCAGCCGGTATGCTCATGTGCACATTGTAGCTCCATCCGTGAAAGTATGACAATTATCACAAAAAGGGAACCAATGTGAAGAGTCGCAGTCTTTATTTGAATCCTCCGTGCAGTACAAGAATGACTGCGGGATGATGATGGCCGATCCAATCACACCTGGCTTATGGGATGACGTCAGCTGCGGAGGGACCAAGCTGCCTTACTTGTGCGAAAGCTACATCGGTGAGTTCAGTGTATTAAAACCCTCCTATGCAAACATACGTTCTGTGCCAAGTTGTCCTTTCAGTCAAAATCAATCAGGTGACTGTTTTCAACAGTTAAGAGCTCCAGCGTACGCAAAGCAGCATTGACTGGCTGTGACTGTTAATGTAACTTGATACAGCTATGCCTTGACCGTAGGTGATTGATCAGCCAGCTGAGTCTACCACTTGCCATTTTTTTGTCTGTTGACTGAATTTGACTAGTCACAGTGCTTACTTGAAATATGATCTGACTGTTGGTGACTAGCCTGTGTAATGATTTTTATTTCCACATCTGATTTTGGGATGACAGGTCCTCAACCATAGTGCTTTTTTATTACCCTTGTTTTCCCAATGCCCATCTAGATTGTGATATATTATACAAATATTGAATGCTTCGAGTGGTGTAGTAAAACTAGCCTCCCGAGGTGATCCATGGACATTCTATTTTCCTGAGGCGAAGCCGAGGGAAAATAGAATGCTCCATGGATCACCGAGGTAGGCTAGTTTTACTTCACCACGAGATAAAGCATTCAATATTTGTTTTATAACACTTCACCCACAGATTCTGCTTGATTTTAATATTTTAAATTATTTAAATCTGAACACTGTTGAAAATAACTTCAATTTCAATACAAAATTGGTGGAAAATGTATTTCTCTCTTCCAAACTACCCCTTCACGAAATGTTTGAACCCAAGTCTGCGGCGCGCTCTCTTTGGAACAATACGCGCAACGCGCACACCAGCATCCCATTTGCACACAAATACCGCGCCGTGGAAATAGTACTTTGGTTGCTAATGGTATAGTACTTTGGTTGCTACGGGTATAGTACTTTTGGTCGTGCACAGAAAGATAGCAAAATTAGAAAGTAACATGTGACTCGCTCTCGGCCAATCAAGATACAGAATCTGTGGGTGAGGTGTTATAAATTTTTATATGGCATGAATAAATAATAATAATAATAAGTTATTATTGTGACTCTCTTGTGTTCAGATCCTGTGATAGCCCCACAGCCGCCCCCAAACTCGTGCCCCCCGGGCTACATTGAAGATTTTTACGGGTCGTGTTACACCTTGTTGCCATTCAACCTGGAATACGACAACGCCTTGGCAGCGTGTCAGAGTAACGGATCTAGTCTGGCCTCCATTGCAGACGGATACGAGCAGGGTTTTTTGCAGTATGTCATGACAGTTTTCAGTGACATACCCACGTCTTTGTGGATTGGGATAAACGATAGAGATGTAAGTATACATTCGCATTGAAGGACCTTTCCTTCCCCCCCCCCCCCCTAAAAAAATTAAAATTATCCCAGTGCAGATTAGGCCAATCAACATTGATTCTTAGGTTTTCATCACTCAAATTGAAAAATTGGTTGGGAGGGGAATATATATTTTATATTTTATAAATTTCACTTGATTTGAGGGGACAACGTCAGATGAATCTTAAAGAAGACAAAACAAACTTGGAAATGACTTACAGTCAGCTGTTAAATGACCTAGGCAGTGGCACACCCAAGGGGGGCCCTCTGAGTGCTTGAGCCTTCCCCCACCCCGGGTTGTCAATTTTTCTTGGGGGGGGGTTAAGTTTTTGTTTATTTGAGTGCCATGATTTGACCTTGGTGATATGTATGTGGCCTATTTTCAAGTAGTATAATAGGGGTGTTAGTGGTGCCACCAACATTAGAATAGTCTGCCCCCCGAAAAAAAAAACACATTTTTTTTCTGCAGCCAAAAATTTTGGGCAACATTTTTGGGAAAAAAATTAGAGCCCCCCTGCAGCCAAATCCTGGGTGCGCCACTGGACCTAAGGTTTGCGTCTAGAATCTAACAAGGGTAATGAACCTCACAGTTTACAGCGGATTAGAGTTACTGTTAAAGGGACACTAGGTCCTGGAACAGCCCAATTGGGCTACAGAACGCGCTTTGAACGAGATGATGATAATCGGAAATAACATTTAAAAGTAGAATATAAACATCCACACAACTATCCTTTCAAAACTTGGCGTTTTTGTGTTATTCCTGTATTATGCATGCGAGAACGAATTTCGGGGTCCACTTTTGCAACCCCATAAATGCGAGCTGTTTGGATGCTAGTTGTGATATCATTCGTACGGGTAAAGTGTTCGCCTTTTGCGGATGTTGAAGAAACCACAATTTTTTGCATTGGTGATTTGTCACCGCATGCTATCTCCGAGACACACAACGTGTATAGCGTACACTGAGAACGACACAAAAAACATATTCGTACTCCGTCATGTCCGACGTAAACAAGCGGGGTTTTTTCGTCTTTTCTCGGGAACGTAAGGTTGGTCTTTTCTCGGGAACGTAAGGTTGGAACATTAGGTTGGTAGCCTTTTAACCAGATGTTTGAAATAGGCTAAGTAAACAATCCAAAACATAAAATTTTCGGGGATTTCAGGACCTAGTGCCCCTTTAACAAAAATGCAACAATGGCCTACCCTTGACAGATGTCAAACTTTGAACTTCAATACATTACGACCACGAGTTCTGTATGGTGCCTAGAGCATTGTCGTATCAATACCACATTGACTCGTCATGCTTCCCGACTATACGATGACGTACATGTATGCATTAGCACTAAGAATTTGCACAACCTGTCTGGAACATACACTTTTCATGGTGGAAAGATATCAAGACAAGATAAGTTTGCGGTAGCACCATGTGAATAAATCTCTTTTCTGAGTATGTGAGGTTCTGGTTCTTTTGAGAACCACACATACTCAGAATGGAGATTTATTCACCTGGTGCTACCGCAAACTTATCTTGTCTTAACATTCACTTTTCTATTAATATAAAATATAAAAAAATCGGGGCTGGATTGAAAATCAAGGGGGCCGGTGATGAAGTCCTAAATATCAATGTTGTGAAGATACCAACTTCCTAATGAGTCCGGAGCCTTTTGGGTACATCTCGACCAATATTTTTTTCCCTCCGTTTTTCCTTTGATAAATTAGTCCTTATCTTTGTCAATCACAGGGCGACGGCGAATACACCAATACAGATGGGACTCCAGTCACCTATGTGAACTGGCTTGACACTAACTCACCGCAAGCCGGAATGTGTGTCGCTGCTCAGAAAGGCTCAAAGTGGTTGGAGAGTAATTGCACCGAAGGACGTGCGGCCATCTGCAAAATACCTGGTGAGGGTAGTGGCACTTGTTTATCTTCTTTTTTTCTTTTTTTTTATAAGCATGGTGGGCAACTTTTGAAGCTTGGCGGCAGCTTTTGAAGCTTGGCAGGTGCCTCAGAAAGCTTGGCAGGGCACCAGGTTATTTTTACAGGTTGGAGAACACAGGGTACATCTGAGGTTTTGTAAGCTAAATGACTTTGAAAGCAGTTCTAATTATTATTTGTGTCTGCTTGTTTATGGTTTAACTCAAAGGAAGACTTTGATAACGTAGATCCATGTTATAAAATTCATGGTGTGACTTACTAAAACCCAAAGTTTCTATGTAATAATTCCATCATTTTATGTCAAACCCATGTCTTTTCTTTCCCCTGTATAGCTGCACCTGTTACCCCTGCTCCTCGTGAAACACATTGCGACGAAGGCTGGATAAAATACGAAGGCGATGGCTTGTGTTATCTGATCAACACGTATCGCCTGCCCGACGATCTCACCGACACTGTTTTCGTCTCGTATGCCGACGCGAAGCGGCTATGTAAGACCCAGGGGGCCACACTCGCGAGCATCCACACTGCTGCGCAGAATGACTGGCTGTATAAAGTGTCTCGTGTCACCTTGGGACAGAGAAACATCTGGATAGGCATGCATCGGTCGACTGAGGGTAGGTTCATGGTGGAGTAGGGATGTAGAACTTTTGCACTGAAGGGTAGGAGATGCGCTGAAGGGCACTGAAGGGTAGGAGATGTGACTGAAATCAGCCTTCCAGGGCTATTGCTAGGGCTATTTAAAGGAAGAGTATGTCATTTTTCATTTGTGCATTTTTTTCATTTGAAGCATTAAAAGTGCAAAAAAATCTAAAGGAGTGTGCTTAACAACTAACCTGATGAAAGTTTAGCTCAGTGAATGCTGTATATTCCGAGAAAAACAATATTCTAGGATCTCGATTTCAATTAAAAAGTTGCCTAGTCATTCTTTGAATTGCGACTGAAATCAGCGTCTGGGACATGATCTTATTGAACTGATTGCATCTACGTGATGTCGTGCACTGAACCAACAGATAATAGCAACCCTGCGCATGTGTGCTTCATGTCAAGGCTTGCGCAGCCATTCGCGGCTTTGCCAAAATTAAAAACGAATTACAAACAGAAATTTCCAAATAGTCCTTAGACACATTTTGGAAATGACATTCTTCGATTGTTTTCTGCAAAATGACAGCATGCCAGAAAGAATAATTTTACAGGGAGTTTAGTGCTATTGCTATAAACCTAGTAAGCTTTTCAGAAGTAATTGGGTCAGTTACTTTTTGGATCACTGCAAATGATGGACTCTACCTTTAAAGCTACAGTCCATCATTTGTAATTTGTGCATTTTGTTCGTTTGAAGCAACAAAAGAGTTCAAAATCCAATGAAGGATACTGAGCAACTAACCTGATGAAGTTTCAGCTAAGCTTCAGCTGTACATTCCGAGAAAAACAGCATTCTAAGATCTCAATTTCAAATCAAAAGTTGCTGAATCATGTTTTGAATTGTTTTGAATTGCAGCTATACGCGGCGTCGCGCACTGATCCGACGAATTACAACAACCGCGCGCGCGTGTGCGTCGTTCCAATACTTGCGCGCGCTGCGCTGAATAACAAAACGAACTACTAATTTAAATTTTCCTACGGTGCTTCTTAAGAATCACCGTTGGAAATACCTTCTTTCGTTGATTACTTCAAAATGACAGCTTGCCAGAAAGAATAATTTCACAGGGAGTTTAGTCCCCTTACTATCTTTCAACCAAGTATGTTTTTCAACAATAATTACGCCAGTTACTTTTCGGATGGCTGCAAATGATGGACTATAGCTTTAATTGAACTTCTTTGCGCAAGGGTACATTGGGTGCATTTGAGTAGCTTCTCCAGGTCGACTCGGGTTAGCTATGAGAGCCGGACTAATCGAATGCCCACCCGCCCTCTTGTGATCCGCAAGCAAGTAAATACCAAAGGTCAACCAGTTACGTGACTTGTGGATGTGGACATCAGTAGGCATTTCACGGACCGTATCCAAACAGCTTACGTTTTCAACACGCTTTTGTTAAAAGCCACAGACATAAAAAGACATAAAGAGACCATTCTGGACAGAGCTGTCCGATTGTACCATCATTTTATGCAGTCACGGGGAAATGAGACAAACAGTTAGATGAAAAATAAAGTTGACTTCTGGTCCACTTACCCTCTCGACATTTTCAAATTTTTCTCCCTGTCGAATCTTCCACAGTTTTGGTTGATTAATTTGGGCCATTTAAATTTACCTAGCTTTTTATCGGCAATCTGTAAATTAACCAGCTTACAGTTAAGACACCTGCACCAGCAGTCAGTAGGTCTCGGGTTAGCATCCCACCAGAACAAGTCGTGAATGATTGTTTTTTAGATTGTCCAATGTTCCATATCATGTTTTTTATTTTGCCACTAATTCTTTTTTTTTTTAATGATTTGCGTCTTTGTTATCAGGTATGTTGCAATGGGACGACGGTTCTGTGGTGAACTATATATTCTGGGACGAAGGGGAGCCCAGCTCTGGTCAGGAGGGGACGGACTGCGTGTCATTATTCGCTGGGAATGACGGCGTAGGACCATGGAAGGACGAGAGGTGCTTCAAACTCAATGCCTTCATTTGTCAAAAGCCGGCCAGTAAGTCATGCTTTGCCCATAGATACTGACAAATCTAGAGTGCTGTTTCTGGTGGGGGGGGGGGGGGGGGGTCGGCTGCCTTTCTCAGGGGCCTGCTGGCAGCCTATTTTAATTTTGAGGGGTGGGTGAGTAGGCGAAACTAAGACAGCATCATGAAGGATGGCCCCCAAAAATAACAAACAAAAAAGACCAAAAGGCCTTGTGTTGTGTAATGCACGTTAAAGAACCCAGTAACGCTTGTCGCTAAGAGAAGGGGTTTTTAATTTTGCTGACTTGCATGGCTACGGCGAGGCATGCGCATACCAGAAACCGGCGACTTTTTTGGGGGGGGGGGGGCCCAACAGTCGGCAATCGACTTGTTTACATTGTGTCAATAATTCGAAAAGCAAAGTTTGTTTTTTTGCTGTTCAAGATATGATTTAAATTATTGCAGTATATAATATTAGATTGATGTGATGCTCTGTGTCAGACGCTGTGTCAAACTCTGTGTTTCCAAATTGTTTACAAGTGCTCAAACTTTGACTTTTTAAGGAGACAAAACATTTTGGGATCGACCACGGTCAAAGGTGACACATGCCACTTGTAACCAATTTTTACATTGTAAACCTTTCAGGCAGTGACATTTCAACAGTACAAAATACATGACAAAACAACTGTATTTGTTCCTCTTTTTTAAACTTTTAATTATTTTTTTTTTAACAGATGATGGACCTGAGCCACAATGTAAGTGTTACACATAAAATATTTCATTTATTACAACATTTGCCTCGTGATTGTTGGGAGTGCTGACCCTTCAATATAGTTCCAACAATTCAACCATCATATTGCAAGGTCAACTTAGAAATTTGCATGAAAACTACTACATTCCATCCAGCCTGTTCTAAATTAAATTGAAATAAAAAAAAAAAATTACTTAAAATTTAATGCATATGGAAATAAAATCCATTAAAATGCACAATCTCTCTTAAAAAAAATAATTGTTTTGAATATTATGTATAATTCAAAATTTACAATTCATGGAAATTTAGCCATCAAATTAAGCACCTTTTAGCACCTCAACTTCTAACTTTCCTGCTTAAAAGTGCCTACTCATGAACAGTTATTTGTCTTGAAAAACAAATTTGTTACTCTACCTGGCGTGGTATTGTTATCATCCAGTAAAGTACTCACTTAACTTTCTTGAAAAATAAAACTTTTCTGTAGTTTTGATACCATGTGCACAGTAAAAATAATTCAGTTCAAAACTTTGATCTCGTGTCCGAATCCCGGTGTTTTATTATCTGGGTATTTCCAGTTTCATGGACATTAAAAATAAAATGTTTTTTTTTAACTATAAAAGGCATAGGGTAGATCATTTGTCATTTAAGCATTTTTTTCGTTTGACGCAACAAACATGCTGAAAATCTAAAGACGGGTGCTTAACAACTAACCTGATCAACTTTGAGCTCAGTGAATGCTGTATATTCCGAGAAAACAATTTTCTAGGATCTTGGTTTCAATTCATAAGTCACCGAGTCATGTTTTGAATTGTGCCCGAAATCAGCGTCCAGGACAGGTTCTCATTCAGCCAATTGCAGCTACTCAACATGCTCAATGTCACACATTAAATTGACAAACAATAGCAACTGCGCTAATGCATGTGTGTCGTATCAATACTTGCACTTCGTGCACCTTTTCACAGATTCGTTGAATTACAAACCAACAGAATGTACGGAAATTTCCAAAAATGCGCACTTTTACGCATCTTTGGGCACAATTGCAGAATACAACTCGATCTATGCACCTCGTAGCCGGCTACGGAGTCACGGTTGATTGCCCTCAGTAAACATTCTCAGCGCTACAAGGCCTACACACGACATGCTCCACTGCACTTCCACTCTGTATCCGCGTAGCCGGCAACAGGGTAGTTGGTTTGGACTTAGAATTTTTTCAGCAACTCCCATTCATTTTGTGTTTCTTCGTTCTCAAGAGGACCCCCACTCAGTATCCGCGTAGCCGGCAATGGACTTGAATTGTTTATTTTCCAGTGATTCCAACCACGTAGCCAGAGATTTTAGGGATGCATTTCCAAGTGGCGGCGTATTCTGCAATTACTCCCTTCTTTGAAAATGGCCTTTTATTTTTATTGTTTGATTCAAAATGACAGCATGCCAGAAAGAAAAATTTCACAGGGAGTTTAGTATATAACCATCTTCAAGCAAGTAAGATTTTAACAATAATTTTGTACGTTACTTTTTGGATAGCTGCAAATGATTTATTCTACCATAAAGAGCTCAGTGAATAACCATGAAAAAAACATATTTTTTAAACATTATACATCTATCATCTAGTAATGGTCAAGGAGATGACAGACTAGGAGTTTTGGATCATTTCCCTGAATCCTTAATTAGATATCATGGTTAATTGTCTCTGTCATGGACATTACATTTTGCTTCTTAACAATGGAATTGACCATCTGTTTTTATTTATTTATTTATTATTATTTTTTTTTAAGGTGAACCAGAATGGCAGTTCGGTGGACAAAATTGTTTCTACTTTGCGATGGAGATGATGAGCTGGGAGGAGGCCGAGATGTCTTGCAATCAAATGGGAAGCAACCTCGCAAGTCTCAACGATGAAGTTGAGCGAAGGAATCTCTCTACCATCGTAAGTTTTGGTCCGATTCAGTTGAGTAGTTTCGCAGTACGAATATTTTGAGGATCGATGGCACAGTAATGCCAGCACGGTGTTGTTTTTTTTGAAAATCAAAAATACTTGAATGCGGATTAACCACGGAATTATTTTGACACTGACCGGACCAGGGTGCTGGATTTCTTTTCACGGACCTCCATGCCAGATGGGCTTAGGCTGTTCTCTGCGGGTAGCACTGGGATATTTCTGGCCTCGCTCGTTGCGAGCAGCCTGGCACACAGATATTTCCGGCCTCGCTTGTTACGTGCTTACCCGTCAGCCTTTCCGAATACCGCAAAACCTTTGCGTGTGAACAAGGCCTCCGGCGTGAAGTGGTTCAGTCATATTTGAAACTAGTGAGGGTTTGGGGTAACACCAAGTGGAAGAATCTCTTTTGAGAAGATATGTGGTTCTGAAAAGAATCGGTTGGTTGTGAAACCCGTCCTTCTGATCAGTATGCTCTGATCGTTGTCAGGGAAAAACCAAACAGAAAGCCGGAATAACAGAATTGTCTGTGTTCACGCCCTGTTAAATATTGACATGACTTGTGGTTGTGTGCATTACATCTCTACTGTCCAATTCTGTTTATGTTGTGCCCTGGTAGCCCTGGAAGAAAGTTATGTATAAATTTAGTCATTACATTAAGGAGAATACACGAGAAAGTGTGGATTCGTAATTTAAGAATCACCGAGGTACGAAGCGCCGAATGAATTCATAAATTAGGAATCCACATTCTTCGACTAAAACCATTGCGTCAAAAGAAGTATTGTCATTAATTAACAGTCCAGTGAGTGGGGATGAAAAGACTTGCATATCTCGTGTCGAGTCATGGCCATTAGGGTAATTTTCAAGGGAGTTTTTCGAGGCTCTTATAAATCAAGCATTGTTGTGTGTTTAGCATGTGTATCACCACACCCGTACAACAGATTAATTTTGTGTGTAGGCTCCTTCCGCTAACATGGATAGTTCAGACGACGATTTCTTTCCGACTCAAAGTAGGTTTTGCAGTGACGGCGGAGAATCTGACAGTGAAGATGCATTTGTTATTTTTGGAAGGAAACTTTTCATGCAGACGGTCCTATTCATGCTCATTATGGAGAACAATTGTCCGACGTGTTCAAAGTGTGGATTCGTAATTCCTAATCCACACTTTACTAAAGATTCTTCGTTCCGAATCCACACATTGTGACCAGTGTAACAGATTTGTAGTTCCGAATCCACACTTTTAACAATAGTGTGACGTCATAGCAATGGTTTAATGATACAGATTGGTCATGCTATAAAGTTAAGGTCCAAAGTGGGTCATTTTTTTCCTGTCCCTGTTACATTGGTACTTTGTAATTTGCCATTCAAGTATCATTAAGAATGGCTTCATCACACGATTTTTCATTTGTTTGGTAGGTAGTTTAATTTGCTATTCATAATCACTCTTGGAGGACGACTGCATTAAGGGAGCCCATCAGAATTATCAATCATCGATGTCAGATGTAACAGGGAATGGAAGGAAACAAAAAGTGGAATCCTAAATTTATAGAATCACCCAATCTCAGACTCGGAGTATGAATTGAGAAAAATAAATTGGCTTAAAATTGGACCTTCTTTGATGAACATGTAGTTTTGCTGAAGGCCAGCAGAGTGCTGCTAACTTTCCTTTTCAATTTTTTAATTCGTCAGCTCATCTATGAATTCCCAGAGATTGTAGAGTACTGGCCTTGGATTGGATTCCGTCGATTACCAAACGCCGCAGACTTTACGTAAGTACTTGCACGTTTTTCCTACCTACTACTTTATGGCCAATTATCCCTTACCCTACTAGACCCTCCAACGCATGCCAATATGTGCCTCAAGAAAATCTCCTATGTTTTTTGCATGGCCCTCCAATATCTGCCATGTCATTTCAAGGGTAACTGGACAGGCACTCCAATACATGCCACAGAGAACAACGAGAGTCCTCTGATAACAAAGTGAGTGCCCCCAGCTGGTCAGTATCAGGCACCCTCCAGGGCCTCCAACTCCTGCCAATTGGAGCCTTCACTGTTAAGACAAACTATCTGCCAATAAACTGCAGCTGGAGGGCATTGGCATAACCAACTGACATGCAGTAAACTACCCTCAGAGAGTAAGGGTTAAGCAGTTGAGGTTTGTTTAGGACAGAATCCAAGATTTCCTCATTTGGGGACTAAAAGGGCTATATGACAAATGTGGAGGTCATTAAGGCCACAGAAATATTGTTGTGTTGCCCTCACAAATCTTGAAATCTCTGGGGGGGGGGGTTTCACTTGTAAAAAAAAAATTAAATGAACATGAACCTTGCTGGAACTGTTTCTTTGTGATGCCATACTTTTGCATTTCATCACAAAACGCACAGTTGGATTTACGTGTACGTGTAACTGAGGCCGAGACCTCGTGCCGCTTGTGCCGAGATGGACTGTGCTATGCGGTGTCCATGACAGCTGTGTTAGGAGCAGAGCAGCTAGGCCTATGTCTTTAAATGGCAATTTTGCCGAAGTATTCGTGAAGTACAACACAAAGCACCCCAAGTTTGTTTTGTCGGATGTTTTGGTTTCACTATCGCATCAAAGGCCCTGTACAAACTGTCTTGCTGACTGAACCTGTCACTTTGTCAATTCGTCAATTAGAAGAAACGTTAGGCTTATATAAATCTTTACTGTGTATACCCACCCCCCCAAAAAAAATCCCAACCGACCGACCCTCCTGATATTTTTCATGTGAGAGCAACACACAACATTTTTGTTTTGTTTTGGCCTAATATTTGAACTAGTTAAGCTAGATTGAATACTCTAATGGCTAATACAATTGTAGCAACTAACGTTTTTTGTGAACGCATAGCTGAAACCATTTTGAAATGTTGATCATTTGGTCGTAGTTATGAATGTATAAGTCAACCATTACCTCAAAATAGTTTTACACAAGTTAAGTGCATTCCGATGTAATTTCAGTGCTGTAATTTATTTTCTTTATATGCGTGTGATGAATGAGTCTGGTGTATTTTCAGATGGTCCGATGGCACTCCTACCAGTTCTGATGAAAGAGCTACATCATGGAGCCTAGGCCAACCGGACAGTGATGACGATGATTGTGCCGTCATTGAACTCAAAGGTAAGGGGACTGGGTGGGGGTGAATGCAAACCCTCCCCCCTTGTGCTCCCCGCTCAGAAATCTGTATGACCATATGACAGTAGGACCATACACACCAGAGCTGTTTGTGGGGTCCTCGTACAAAGGGAACGGTAATCCACAAGTGATATGTTTAGAAAAAAAACGGCATCCCAGAGGCGAAATCTTTAGAAAAAGGGATAAAAGGACAACAATGCTCCTACCCCAGAACTCCCATCCGCTGAAACATCCGTAAGACCAGCTGGCAGCAACTTCGTTCTCATGGTCTACTATCATTCATTCAACATCAACCTCGTGCCGGATCTATCACTAGGTATGAGCTGCCCACGAACATGTGAGGCGGTGCGGCAATAGAGGGCGCTGTTGCAGCTAGCACGGAAAATTTTGAAAAAACAATTGACGTGCACGATCAAAATCCACGCGCTCGCTGACCAGACACCGACCATTTTTTTTTGCCTTACTAACAGCAAGATTGAAGATGATCAAAGCCAGTTCTTTACTTGACAAAGCTCAACATCTGCCATCACAAACCAAAAAATAAGTCCCTTGTTCCTTCACTTTAAGGTACCTATGAAGAGTGGAATGACATCAACTGTGGGCTATCGCGGCCCTTCATTTGCAAGAAGGCACCCGACTCTCCAGGCCTGCCTACTCCAGCGATGACGCAAGAGCCGCAAGGGGGCTGTCAGTCTGACGGAACTCGCATTGGCACTCATTGCTATAAAATGAACTGGGATCCACTCAACTGGGACGCTGCTCGCACGGAGTGTGCCAAGTTTCCCAATGGCGATCTAGCCTCCATACCTATCTATGCTGTGCAAGGTAAGGTCCCCTGAATTGCAGTTGATTTGAAAGACTCTGGAAACGTACTTCACTAAAAAATCTTCTGAAATATTGTGAACTTCTGATTTCTCGACCACGTACACACATGTACTCCCTGTGTGGAATGAGTAATATTAATAGAATTGTTGCCCTTCAAAAAGCTCTGGGAATAATTAACCATACTGACTTTCGGGCCCACAGCAATCCTTTATTTTATAAACACAAACCACTAAAGGTCAACTATATTTACCTTCTACAGCTTGGGACCTTCATGTGCCAGCTTTCCAACAATAACCTGCCTAACACTATCTGTTCAGTGTTTTGTAAAAATCGGGATGTTCACCGTCATTTTACTAGGCGTTGTCTGACATTCATCAGACCTGGGCTCGTACAATTTTAGCTAAAAAAACTGTTGAACATGGAGGGCCCAAGCTGTGGAATTCTCTTAATTATTCTCTTAAAAATGAATCAAAAGTATCATTATTCAACCGCAAACATAAAAACCAATTAATTAACAAATTTTTGGTGGAATAATACCCTTTTGTAACACCAAATAATCATAATTTTAATTCCTATTACTAGCTTTTTAGCAACTTTTATGTTATTTAACTTCTGTCGTTGCCCTGGTAATTGTAATTGTTAATTTCACACAGTTGGGTTTCCACTCGATTAGCTCAATGCTTTTTGGAGACCTACATCCATACACAATAATTTGAATGTTAAATAATTGTATCTGCATGTACATTTATGTGTTGGTAAAAATTAAAGATCTTGATTGAATGATTGATTGATTGAAAAAAAAAAAAAAGTTAAATGGGATACCATTACATTTCAGCCCTGATGGCGTCACTGCAAAGCCAGGTCCCTGTTGACAGCATCTGGATTGGACTGACCTCCCGGATGCCTAACAGTGACTTTGTCAGGGTATTCCACTGGATTGATGGCAGCACCTTGAACTTCCAAAACTGGGGAGCTGGACAGCCTAGTTTACCCACGGATGAGGTTCGTTGACAGTTGTAAACCTTCGCTGAGTAACTGGGGATCCAGACAATGTAGCTAATATCAACTACAGTAAACTCCGGCCACAAGTCGACATTGTACAACTCGCCAAATTGCTCAAGTTGGCCCTCTGACTAAACACCGATTGTCTGTAAGGCCAAAAATAAAAAGTCTCCGTTTTTTTTTTTTTTTACCGTTTTCTTTTTCTTCAAATGTCTGCTGATGACTGCAAATGGTGCCCGACTAAATTTAGTGCAAATATATGGGAATCCAGAGAGGCCACATAAAGCTTATTCTCGATCGTAACCCCATCTATAAACACGTTAAAATTGTGCAGTAGCAGGATTCCAGTCAAACCAGTGAGTTTGGCGATTTTGAGACATCATCTTACATTGAGAAAAAGATCTGTTCATTTTGCTGACGTGCATGGCTACGGCGACGCGCGTGCATACCAGAAACCTCATACGTGTGGAGTGTCATTGCCTAGCGGTTAAGAGCACCGGACTTGTGCTCTGGTGTTTCAGAGGCAACAGTGGTGTGGGTTCGAGCCCACCGGGTGGACACTTGTGCCCTTAAGCAAGGCACTTAACCATTATTGCTTTGTCCTTCCGATGGGACATAAAGCCGTAGGTCCCGTGTGTTGTGTAATGCAATGCACGTAAAAGAACCCAGTGACGCTTATCGCTAAGAGAAGGGGTTTGCCTCGGTGTTTCTGGCCTCCTGTATAAACTCCCACGCGGAGTATTTAGGAGAAGAACCAACCAAGAACCAAAAACCAGAACGTGCTTTGTTAAAATATCTAGGAGATCTGGACAACCTTGATCAAGTCTTGAGATTAACTTGAACACGAGGCTTACTGGTAATAATCTTTTAACTGAGGATCTGTTTGGATCAACTTTGGCTTTCTGGCACTAACTTTCAGTTACTAAGTGTAGGAGATCAGAACAAACTAATTGACCAGTTTACTGGGACCTTCGCTTAAACTTGATGGTTTCTTGCTATGACTTGAACTTTCCCTAACTGGACAAACTGGTTTATCAACTTGAATTTGACGCTTCTTAAAAATAACTGCCATGAAATAACTTGGAGTGTGGACAACGTAGTTCATCAGGCAGTGAGGCTTTCATGCGCAAAAGAATTTCTATCATCTGAAAACTAGTTTATCGACAAATAACACACAATTACTCCAAAGTTAAGGCTTTGCCTTTTGTATGACTCTAGATTTAATTATCCCTGGAGCTAAAACTGATATATCAGAATTCAAATAAACATTTTTGATTACAGTTTGAGTAAAATATTCATATTGATGTGACAGGATAACTGTGTGAAGATGTTAACTGATCCTGATGCGCCAGGCAAGTGGTATGACGACGACTGCAGCAAAGAATATACATCTGTCTGCAAATATGACTTGGGTGAGTTCAGGTTCATTTGTTAATTTTTTTTTACAGTAATTCTAATTGATAAAAATAAACCAGTTATGAATAATGACATTTCAGCTTTTGCTTAGTTATGTCTGTATTTAGAGGATATATTGTGGTCAGCAGAAAGATAATTCCAGTTGGAACTGATTGAAAATTCTCCTTATTTGCCTCATTGCAACAGATCCAAATTCTCAGCCTGTACCACCCGCGACTTTTGCACCGTGCCCGAATGGTTATTCCGGCTCGGCACCATCATGCTTCAGGATCGAAACGACCGAACGTACCTTCTCCAATGCAATGGATGCATGCACGAGAGTTGGCGGTATCCTAGCTCCAGTCATGGACGGCTATGAGAATGCTTTCACCGAACTGCTTATGTACAATAGCGGCATCGAATCTGCGTGGGTCGGCCTCCGTTCAGATTCTGTAAGTCGTCTTTGTATTTTGAGATTATGTTGTGAATGTAATTTTTTGCCAATCAGCAAGATGTACTAGTGAGCTTCTCATGGAATAATTTGGAGGATTAACCCCAATTAGGGTAAACTTCCAATTGAGTGATTCTTAGTCGCGGTTCTATAGGGAGGGGGCTAGAAATTTTGTTTAGCCCCCCCCCCCCCTCCAAAACATATGCCATAACAAAAAATCAAACAGCATTAGTGAATGAGATTGAAAATTTATAATAAGACAGTACATGTCTATCAGAAGCGTAGCCACCCCCCCCCCCCCCCTACCGATCAGGGTAGACTTCCAAAGGAGTGATTTGGAGGATGCAAACCCCAATCAGGGTAGACTCCCAATGGAGTGATTTGAAGGCTGCTCTCTCCCCTAAAAGTGTCTAAGTAGTCAGGCCTTAACAAGGGGCGTGTTCTCAAGGCAACGCTTGTTTTGGGGGGTTAAATGTTTTGGAGGGTTTAGTAGAGCATGGGCTGATCAGTCAACTCAGTGATAACTTGAAATTAGACTCGGACTCTTTGTTCAAGGACTTTAAAGTTGTGAAGATTGTCCGTCACAAGGTTTGTCCTTTCTCTATTGTTTCCTTGGGGTTTTTTTTATAGAGTACCTCAGGAACTTATGAGTGGATTTCTGATCAGTGGCCTAAGAAATACCTGAATTGGGCTGGCCAGGAGCCGGTGCTTGAGCTGGGATGTGCAGCGTCCATGTACTCCGAGGGCTGGAAATCTATGGGCTGCACTACTGCGAGACCGTCCATTTGCAGATCCAACCAGGGTGAGTCGAAACTGATGAACGTTATGCAGTGCAAGTCAAGCTTACAGAAGGAACTCAAAGTGTTTGGTTTGCTCCTATCCTCCTCCAAAAGAAGTTGCCTTCCTTATTCCTATCGCCGTGTCTTTGCAACACGGTTGTATCTCCTAAAATGGTGTGTGACGTCATGTACGTGAAACGTGAGTTTTCACTGTCAAAACGTCATATGTCACTTAAAATAACTGGGATGTACACACAAAATCAATGAACGTAGCGATACCCGAGAAACGACCTTGTTGCACAGAGCGCATTTGGGCGAGATACGACTTGTTGCAGAATCGAGTTACGACCTTGTTGCACTGACGCGACGATGTTCTGTTCAGCCATTCCTGCAGTATGAAGGAAAAAAACATTCTTACAAACCTCAATTCCCAAAGAATTGAAACATTTAGGAAACTTTTTAAATGTTTGCACTTGTTGAAAAACTCATGTGCCTATATACTCTTTAATATTGTACATCATGGCTTGGCTTTGAGAACGAAGATTGATGAAGGCTGTCCACGTGGAATGCAGGCACGCTGGTGGCTTAGGGGACCTATCCGGGAGAGCCAGATCCTACTGTAGCGGCTGCAGATAAGAGATTGGTCATTGGGCTTGGCCTGGGGGTTCTTTCAACAGTCTCTCTTGTCCTCAGAGCAAGCGCATTATTGCACATAGCCATGATACACTCAACCAAAAAGAGAGTCCCCCTTGATACTTTGTTGTCTAACTCAAAAACTTCTGGGCACATCTTGCTCAAATTACGACTGATCAGTACAGAAATTCCTTAGCAATCCAGCCATACTCTTTGTTTGGCCCCAAAACAGCAATCATGTGTACAAAATTATGCAATTTAAATTGCATAATGTCGTACACATTATCAGTGTTTTGGGCCAAACAAAGAGTATGGCTGGATTGCTAAGGAATTTCTTTACTGATTAGTCATTATTTGAGCGAGAGATGCTCAGTAGTTTTTTAATGTTAGACAAAAACAGTATTGGAATGGGGGACTTTCCTTTTTGGTTGAGTGTATTAAACCCATGCAAGTGAACTATGCCCTTTTACGAATCCTCCATGTTTACTCATTCAATTTTTCCTTTTTTCTTTGCGATCCAAACAACCCCTCAAGATTGTCATCACTCGTCTGAGTATATACTCACTAGTCTAAAACCTGTCACACTTTTTTTTTTATCCAGACATACCCCCGACTTTCCCCCCTGTTGGCCCGGGTCTGGAATGCCCAGAGAATTGGTATCCATTCGAGAACCAGTGCTACCTGATTGACACCGGTTTCACCAGTGACAACCTGCTGAACACGTACTTCAAGTGCGCGACGATCAGCGCCTTGCCGCCAAGCATTCACAGCCGGGATGAAAACACCTTCATCAGGATCAATTCCCTCAACGAAAAGACGGGAAAGTTTGTCTGGATTGGACTGGTCACACAAGGAGGTAACTTTAGATTAATAATGCCACTGAATTTACCGTTTAGAAAAAAAGTCATGTCACTCGTCGGAGGGAATTTGGCATCGGGGGATTTAAATCCAATATTGGGTTTTGCCCTTTAGGCCAAAAAAAAAAATAGTCCGTCTCTGGTCAGCGGGCGCGTCGATTTTAACCATGCGCGTCAACCTTTTTTTTCCTTAAAATTGTCCGCGGTAGCTACAACAGCTCCCTCTATTGCCACACCTCCTCAAATTTTTGTACCAAGGAATGGGGAAATTGCACCAAGGCAAATCATGGAGGGCACAAAGGCAAATTATGGAGGACACCAATGTATATGAGGACACAAAAAAAGCAAAAAATAGTACCCACCTGTACAGTCCAAGCTTAAAAAAAAAAAAAAAAAAAAAAAAACCCAAAAACCCGTCGCCACATCAATTCTGGAACTTTGGTCTGACCAGAGACCGACTATTTTTTTTTTTGGCCTCACCGACACAATATCGTTCATGGAATTACGTTGGTGAAGAAAAAATCCTAATATTGTAACTGTTAAATTTGAACATTTAACCCCTTAAACACGGGTTATAATGGGGACATTCCTCCACACATGGAGCAAGTGGCCCGCATGACTGCACAGCCTTTGTGTGGTAGCGGGACTGCACAAAAGCAGCAGCTGTGGAACTACCCACTAGCCATGTGCCACGGCATACCACAGCTGGCAACTGCATTCCAATGAGGATTAGCGGCCGCGGCCATGACCGCTTCCCGTGCGCATGGGGTTAACATGTGCTCTATGATTTTTCATATAATGGTTCCTTACACGGCTTGAGATACATATAAGTATGAAAGACATGCTTACTAATATACTTCAAATGGCTCCACAATTCATTTTGCCAAAAGTACGGAGCCTAAATCAGCATTTGGATGTAGCAGCAAGTATTTTAAAAGATACGGAATTACACTTAAAATTGAAAGGAAATGACATTTTGTTGTTCAATAATTGATTGTGGGATGTGCAAACATCGAAATGAGCTCACATCCAAATATTTGTCGTTCAAAACTATTTTATTTTTTTTGTCTGGCTGTATAAAAATAGGCTTTAGAAATCGTCTAAAAGTTGGGTTTTTTGTGTGTTAATTTTGTACCAATTGTAGGCACATATGCCTGGATGGACGGTAGCGTTGTTGATTTCACCTACTGGGCGGACGGGGAAGAGCCGACGCCTAACGACGGGAAGGAATGCGTAGCGATGGTCCCAGAACTGGACGGCAGATGGCAACGGAAGGAATGCAGTCTACAAGCTGAAGTAGTCTGCATGCTGTTTGAACCAAGTCAGTGTTGAACCCAATAACACTTGTATTACATTGTATTACATTGTACTACATTGTATTACATTGTATACATCCCTGATGAATCAATATAACCATACAGCGCTGGAGTAGTCTTGGGCAGTATAGGGTGTAACTGGCAGGGTGGGGTGGCACAGGGATTAATGGTTTAAAAACTGGAAAACAATAAATGGATTTGGGACATACGTTGAAAATCCAGGATTTTTATAATTGCTGAGGTGGTTTTTTTTCTACACAATCTGACAAGGCCAAAAAAAAAGAAAAAAAATTATACTTCCGGTTACCCAACCCACCCTATTTTTATGGCTGCGACCCTAACATTTTTATTGGAAAATTAAAAAAAAAAAAAAAAAAATGCTGTACTGGTTTCCGCTGCTCCGCACACCAAAAGGGCCAAAGAAGGCACGATGGAAATGCGGCAACCAGTCTATGCATATGGCTGACCAACATAGCCTAACACTGCAGAGTACACTGCAGTTGCAGGTCGGATTGACATTGTCAAAATGCCAAGTAAACACCGATGGAGAAAGAAGATTTCTGCAAGTTAATTCACAGAACTTGATCTCCCTTGTCTGTGTATGTATTTACCGTGTTCATGAATTTATTTCGAGGTTGTACCGCTCGTACTTACAGCGCAGCGTGTTTCCCCTAAATTTCCTGCCGCAACACGAGGTTCGTCGCCCGCCATACATAGCGCATCACGCATTCTTACACCGCGCGATATACGGACAGTGTTGGCCAGTTTTCCGTTGTTACGAGCATTGTACATATGGTGTGATAGGACCTGAATTCCCATTATTTTTCAGAATTATCGACCGCAAATATTTTTGACATTAATGGAGGCAAGTTTTCGTCACTTTCTGTGGCCATTTTATGTGCAGCTTTTGAAGCGCAAATTGAAACAGTTCTGACAAGCCAGAACCACCAACCGATAGTGTTGTCACGGAACGACCCCCTGGTACGTTTTTAAATTGAAACAGTTCGGGCTGAAATTGGCATGTAATTGGATCCCCCATTCAATTAGCACAAAACAAAATTGGCCAAAAGAAAATTGTCCGACCTACCTACCGTATTATGGAAAGCATGTAATCGGAAGCAGAACTGTTTTGAGGGTTTTTTTTTTGCTTAATCTAACAAATTGTGTTCTTAAAGCTGCAAATGATTACTCTACCTTAAAGCATTTTCTCGTTTATTTGAAGGCATACCTACTGCTACCACAAAACTTACAGACAAGCCAGAACCACCAACCGATAGTGTTGTCACGGAGCAACCACCTAGTAAGTTTTCAATTATTTAATGGTTTTATATGTATATATATCTTGTTTAGCATTGAAATTTAAAAACTGAGAAACAAAATTAAAGGGTTTTTTTTGGAAGCTGAAAGCATTGAATAAAGTTGAAAGTTGAGCGTTGGAGAAATGGTACAAAATGATGATTTTCCCTAATTATGTTTCAGCAGTAGTAAATATATGTATTGATATGCAACTAGGAGGCGGAGTTTGTACTCTGTATTTAACAGTGTTGTTGTACTCGTACTCGGTACTACTTTTTTTCAGAGTACTCGTACTGGTACTCGTACTCAAATGTCAAAGTACTCGTACTCGAAATGACGGTACTCGTACTCGGGCAGCAAAGTACTCGTACTCGCCATGTCGAAATTGTGCTCGATCATCAAAGTACCCGTACTCGAATAGCTGTGCTCGAAAACAAAATGGTATAGCTTGACTTACCACGGCCTTATTTTATTGATACTTTCAGTTTGAAAAGGTTGATTCACTTGATTGGCTTGAGGAGAAATCGAAGTTTCTTGATTTTCTTCTGTGCGCGTCCGGCCGGACAAACATATTTAACAGCTAGCCGTGAGTGGGTCTGTATTTCGGTCTGACCGGGCCTGGGCCAATTACGCATAATGAAACATTTGCCGTATGGCTGTATTCAGAAATAATTCTCGTTATCGGAATACAAGTACTCGTACTCATACTCGGAAGTACAAGTACTCATACTCAGAGACCTGTACTTGTACTCGGAAGTACTCGTACTCGTGCTTGTACTCGGTAACCTATAGTACTCGGCAGTACTCGGAAACTCGGAAAAAAGTACTTGACTACAACACTGGTATTATATAAGACAATCAGTATTATCCGGTTCCAGATGTTTTTGTTTTTTTTCAAGCTTGGTCAAAGAAAGACTTATATTACTGTGGCAGTGGAACAAATGGGTGGGGGAAAAGAGAAAGCAAAAAAGAGGCCTACTACCAAGAAGCTGCTAGCTCTTAAAAGTAATATAAAAAAAAATAAAAAAAAAAATAAAACCAAACAATAAATCATTCCTCAGGTTGATGCCTCATATTCATTTTGTCTCTTTAGTTGGTTTTTCTACAAGTTATTAAAGTGCATTCACCTTGAATGAGTTATCTGTGTACATTACTGGACCTAAACCGAGATTCCAAGACTCGTCAAGTCTGGCCTTGTTAGATGTGGATCTGCGTTGAACCTGTCTCATGTTTCTTGGCTACACAGTCCTAAGCACCGGCGCCATTGTTGGTATCAGTGTCGGCGGCGCTGCGATTCTCCTACTCTTCATCATCTGGCTCTGCTACTTCTGCGAGAAGCAGATGAACAACAGAAAAGAGTGGGAGCAGCATCAACGAGAGGACAACATCGATGTAGACTACGGCGTCGAAAACGTCCAGTACAGCGAAGATATTGAGCTCCGGAAGAAGAAACCCGAGCAGGTCGCCGTCAAGGTTGAAACCGAGTCAGATGGGAGCGAGGACTCCTCATCGGTGTCCAGTGGTTCCTCTGGAGGATCTGGAAAGGGTGCGTCCGGAGGAAAGGGTGCGCCCGGAGGAGGAAAGGGTGCGTCCGGAGGAAAGGGTTCGGCTGGAGGAAAGGGTTCCGCCGGAGGAGAGAGTTCATCTGGAGAAAATGAGTATGAAGAAAAATTGTAGATGCTCACGCTCGATTACAAATTGTTTTGGTCTGAAAAATCAATTTACGGTTTTATGTAGGGGGTTGATAATGAAACTTTGTTGTGGTACATGATACGATCAAATGAGCATTATTTCAAAATACTCAAAATAAATTAAACAAAAAAAATGATGACTGGCTTTGTATTCAAAGGCAATTGATACTCTGATTGCAAAACGTTTGATTAGACGGTTTTGTTTAAAGGGCCCATGCAATGTAATCATTGTTAATGCAATCGTTGAATTGAAAATACACCTTTACTTGATGTCCCATTTAAGTTAACCTTATTTCAATTTTCATTTTGCCACTTTCAAGTGTTTTTTGGAGCCTTTAAGGTTTTTATACTAATGTAAATTTCCATATATGAGCAAAAGTGTGATGTCATTTTAGACAAAAACCTGTTACGTTACCAAAAGCACCAAAGAATTTTTGATATTTTGCTGTCGTAAATTGTCTTTTTTCGAGTGATTCGTGGTTGTGTCAGTACATGGCAGTATAGCCAGTGAGCAAACTTTTCTCACAAACGTTTTCAATTAGCAAATTTTTGGTTCACAATGTGAACAGAAGTGTCTTCCTGAAATGACATCACAGCAACAGTGCCCTCAGTTGTCCGGAGAAAAACATGGATCATTTAAAAGTTTAAAGAAGTGCGCTTTTCAATCAATTTATCCCAAAAGGGATGTCAAATAGTCTTCATACATTCAAGAAGAGTAGAAAGTTCAATAAAATGTGTTCCTAAGAAAAACTCAATTCATTCCTTGTGTGTTTAGAATTGAAATGTGTATTGTATGTAGAATATTTGAACATTTAACAGCTTGTTTTGATTTTTGAAAATTCTTTCTTTGCATTGAATAATCTTTTTCAATCTGTGCTTATATTTTGCAAAGGAAAGAGAATTATAAACAATCGAAATAAATTGACAAATCATCAATCAAAGCAGCTTGTAAATATGCAACAAAGATGTAGGAACCTTTTTCAATGAGTTGCTTAGAAACAACGAAATTAAAAAACAAAAACAGTTTGTGTGTGTCACATCTATCTTGATAAACCACTTAGTCAGTCTTCAGAAGTGTCAGATACTTAGCTTTCGTAGTAGGCCGTAGAGTTGTTTGCATTTATATTATAACATTTGTTATAGCAGTATTAATCAGCTTTTGATAAAGATCGAATTAGTAAAAAAATGACATTTGTGTTAAGTTTATCAAGTCATGTAATTTGTCATGTAATAGATGTCGGACAAATAATGTTCTTTAATTGTGTACATTTTTTATACAGTATTCATTAGCTTTTGATAAAAGTTGAATTACATTTAACTCTACTCTTAAAGTGTATGTAGTTTCATTGAATATCACCAGAATGACTTCGAGACAAGCTGCGGAAAATATTGAATTCAATTATTTGCTGATTTTTTTTTAAAACCTGTTCCTCTGGTTAAAAGTTAATCAATCATTTTCCCCCCACTACTTGGAAATAAATTATCTAGTGTGGACTTTTACTGTTAGGAAAACAACTTGTTGAAAATTTGTGGAGATTGATGTAAAAATAAATTCCCCATTTGAAAAAATCAGATCCCCAAATTTTGGTGAAATTGTCTTTATTTGTCTAAACCACTTTTTAATTTCATTTTGTGTTTTTTTTATGAAAGCTGCTTAATTATTCTGTCTCAGTATTGAATCGCTCATTTGATGCATGAGAATAAATATTAAGGAATCATAATGCTGTGCAGGTAATGTTGCTTTTTATGGGAATTCTCAACTGGATGAGGTAAGCTAAAATGGCATCAGCTCCTAAATATACCCCCCCCAAAAAAAAAAAAAAAAAACCACCAGATATTGACAATGATAATAATAATAAAATAATAATAATTGATACATAAATATGTGTCATGTTCTCCTGGTGCTGAAATGACAGTTGTTTTAATATCTCTATTTATACTGCCTTATACCCTCTAGGGGGCCTTTATGTTGAGCTTGGTTTTGTATATATTTGGTCACTTTTATAGAATGTACGAGGGTGACAACTGGAATGGGCATGGGAGCACCCCACCCCTCCCTCAAGCTATGTCGTGGGGAGAATTTGAAGACGAAATGCGCAAAATGTATTTTTAAAACTATGACCAAACCCAGAAAATGAGTAGGACCACCAATGCCCCCCCCCCCCAACTTGCAAATATAGGACTCTTACATTGCGAGGTCTACAATCCGGCAAAAATGGTTGGGACACTTCTTGAGCCTGCCACGGTCACCCATCCCCCCCCCCCTCCCCCCTCCTCCGCTCCTCCCCGGTCAATGTTGTTCTCCCCAGCTGATGGAGCACACACACCGCAATGAGAGACAACATTGAACGGGGGCCTGGGGATCGCGAGGGTGAGGGCCCAGCGAGATTTGGCCAGGATTTGTAGGTACAGGCCAGTAAATCGGTCCGAAATTGCCTACGCCGGCCAAATCACGATTTACATGCCCTCATAATTATTCAGTATTTGAGCACATTGAGGATTCGTACAAAATAAGGATGGGAGCCGTGCGCTGGAACGCGAGCTTGTATTTCTGTACAATTTGGATGAAATTGGGGCCCTAGTAAAAGCGCTCTCTTTTGCAATGGAGTGTAGGCACCGTTTTTCAAAATGGCGATGGGTTTCAGGACTATATTTTAAGGGATGATCATATTCGGGTGGAAATTTCTCCAAAAATTCATCAAGTTAAAGAAAAACCATGAAATAAGCTTTAAGTTTGACGTGTGTCTCGAACACCTTGGAGAGTAAATTGTGAGTATATTTCCTGACTTTCTGAAGTGGGGCCATTTATCATTGGGGTCTTTATTGCACCCATAGGGACACTGTTATTAAAGCGGGCCAGCCGGGAAGGGCTAGGCGGATGAGCTTCACAGAATCTTGTGAAGGAAGTACTGGGATGGCATTCGGGGTAACTTATCAGGGTGCACACCTGTAAATAGTCCAAAAATTAGAGAGTTTTGAGAGCCATACAATTGGGGAATTGAAGAGATATGGTAATGAACCTCTGGCCCGGACTTGGGTCTTCTAATTCTGAACATTTTGGATGCTATTGGGCTCGAAAGTGGCGCTATTTTGCCATGTTGTGGAGGAATCGTTTTAATTTCAAGATGGCTACTTTTCCGCTTTGGGGAATATAGGGGTCGTCTTCTTTGGGTGAGAATATCTCGAAAAGTCAATGGTCAACCCACCGAAAAATGAAAAGAAAATGAAAGATGACACATTGATCATTATTTTTCTGTGCAGCTTGAATACCTGTGAGAGTTCTGAGTATTTTTAAAAGAATTTTGAAGTATGCGCATTTAGCACAAGTGTCTATGGGATTTTTTTGCAGGGTTGCACCCATCATGCCCTATATTATAAAGACATAATTAACGCTGCTGTAGCTTTTTAAGGGTGCAACAGTGCAAAAAAAAAATCCCATAGCCACTAGTGCTAAATGCCCATATTTCAAAATTCTTTTAAAAATACTCAGAACTCGCACAGGTATTTAAGCTGCACAGAAAAAAGATGATCGACATGTCATCTTTCAATTTCTTTTCATTTTTTGGTGGGTTGACCATTGACTTTTCGAGAAATTCTCGCCCAAAGAAGACGACCCCTATTTTCCCCAAAGCGGAAGGTAGCCATCTTGAAAAACGATCCCTCCACAACAAGGCAAAATAGCGCCACTTTCGAGCCCAATTGTATCCAAAATGCTCAGAATTGGAAGCCCCGAGTCCGGGCCAGAGGTTCATTGCCATATCTCTTCAATACCCCCTATGTTATGGCTCTCAGAACTCTCTAATATAGAATATTTTGAGGATATACCTTTTATTCATGAGCTCGCTCGGCACAGTCCTGTGCACGGCTTCCACCCATATTTTTTCACAAACCCTCAAGTTCATGGCCCACAGCATGCTCAAATACTGAAGATTTTGAGGGCATGCAAATCGTGATTTGGCCGGCGTAGGCAATTTCGGACCGATTTACTGGTCTGCACCCTTAGGTGGGGCCGGGAAACAGTCTACAATCCCGGCCAAAATGATTGGGACACTTCCTGAGCCTAGCAACAGTCACCCGGCCACTCCCCCGCTCCCCGGTCAATGTTGTTCTCCAGCTGATGGAGCACACACACCGCAATGAGAGACAACATTGAACGGGGGCCGGCCGGGAGGGTGGGGGCCCAGCGAGATTCGGCCAGGATTGTAGCTAGTGTTGGGCCTTGAGCCCAACACCTAATGGTTTTGTAAGAATTTACTGGTTTTTTTCTTCTCAGCATATTCTCAGCAAATCCTTCTCCAGAACTGTTTGGAAAAATGGAAACATATATGAACTTCATTTGTCAATGACCAGTCCACCGCAGATGTGGTTTTTTTGCAATTACGTAATCATGACGTCATCATGGGTCACGTGACGTCACTTGAAAGTTTAATAAATTTAATCTTTGAAATTCCATATAAAATCAACCGTAAGAGCTAGACCGGTGTGGAAGGTAATTCTGTCCCCCGGTAAAACTGTCCGGGGGGACAGAATTACCTCCCCCGGCCCGTTAATTCTGTCCCCCTCCAGGTAATTCTGTCCCCCAGGGGTTTTTTGTCTCCCTCTTTTGAAACCCGGAAGGCCAGTTCTCTTTATTGTTTTTATGAATTCACTAAACAAGGTATACATTTTGGACTTTTAGTCTGCCCTTCATGAATATAAAATTAATATTTAATTTGGTCTATTACATGATATATGTTTCGATTCGGAGTACAGTGAAATCTACCGAGATTCTACCGCGATGGGTCAATACAGCGGCGATGCGTGGCGATGGCCCTCGTCTCATTGATACAACACCTACTTGGATTGGTCTGTGTTCCCATCATAGCGCGTAACAAAATTTCCTATTGGATGAATTTCCATTGAGAGAGGGAGACGCATGTACACATGTGATAATCACTGCCACAAATCTTGCAGCATGTACTGGCACGCGCGACACGCTGCTGCTCTCAGTACATACTGCATGGGTATGGCGTGTCAAACGTTGCAATATTCAAATTTTGCAATATATATGTTGGATGTTCAATATGTGTTTGTTATCTTTTACATTTATGTGCGATGTTCAATATAAGTGTGCGATGTTTTTCATCATTTGCGCGATATTTAATATATTTGTGCGATGTTTTACAATATATGTGCGATGTTCAATATATGTGTGCGATGTTTTACATTTATCATGTTTCATGCGATTTTCAATTTATATGTGCGATGTTTTGACGATATATATGTGCGATGTTTTCAATATTATGTTCGATTTTTTGCATTAAATGTGCGATGTTTTTCGATACAATTGTGTGTGTTGTTTACAATATATTTGCGATATTCTCAAATATGTGAGCAATGTTTTACACATATGTTTGACATTTCGAGCTATTTGTATTCGATGTTTCATCGGTATATTTGCATTCGATCTTTCTGCAATATGCATTTGATGTTTCCCTTTTCATTCGATGTTTCGTTAAGAGTCAAAGT